GGATTTTTTGAGAGGAACAATTTTTGTGAAATAGAAAAACCCCAAAAATGACCAGAAATTCCCGAAAATTAGGTCTAAAGATATACGGGCTGATTTTCTTTTAGAAAAGGGGAGAAGAAAAGTAGAAAAAGGTTGAGGGAAAAGAAGAGTAAGAGAGAAGAAGAGAATTGAGTTTTTGGTGTGAAGAATATGAGAAGTATGAGGGGGTATTTATAGGCTAGCTCATGTAAGAATTATGGTAGGAGAATGTAGGAAGAATTATGGTAAATTGGTTTAAGGAAATTACTTGGAGAAGACAGCTAAAGAATTATGGAAAGTCTAGGTTATGGTGATTAAGTAATGAAGAAATAAGGTAAGTATGTAGTCATGAAATATTAAATGGTAAATGGCTTTTCTTGGGGAATAATCAAGAATGATTTAAGGTAGGGAAATAAGATGATCAAATATTTATGAGACAAAAAATAAGAATTAAGGAAGATAATAGAATTGAGGAAGATAATTAAAATACAAAAAACTACCAAAATAATTTTGCTCAAAATACGATATAGTGGCCGAAAGTTTAAGCTTTCCTAAGCTCATATTTCCGGACCTCCCTTTAAATATTTAGGCAATTATTTTGCTAGTTTTTAAGGAATAAAATTGATTATTTAAATAATATATTTTGTATAAAATAATTAATTAGAAAAATACCAATTATTCACTAATTAATTTAACTAAGAAAATCAAATTTTCTATACTTAGAAAATCCGAAAATCCTAGCTAATTAATTAGGGAAATTCGGCTCTTTTAAATTAAATAAGAAAACATACTTTTGCTTGATTAAAATAACCGAAATATATATAAATAAACCGGTTTTTAAAATAAAATAAATGGATAACAAATCTTATCCAAAATAATATTTGAGTTTTAAAATGTTTTTGGCGCCAAAATTCAAATATCATTTTGGCTCCAAAATTCAAATAGTAAAATAAATTAATAAAATACCTTTTCTAGAAAATATTAATTAATTAATTAATTAAAAAATATGTTTTAAATATACAGGGTATTAAATTTTTCTCTATTCAAATATTAAAAAGACGTTTTCTATTTATTTCATTGTCCTATACTTTCCCCAAGTTTAATTTGACTCTATTTATTTTAAATTTCATCTAAAGTTTTTTTCTTTTACTTGTAACCTAATTTGATTAATTATGACATGATATGAATTATGTAGAGTTATGAATTATGAAGTATTATCTTTCACTTGTATTAATCCATGTATAGTTTTATATGAATGACCTTGTTCTATTCACCTTATAATAATATTCAGTAAAAATTAGTCCATTTTAGTAAAACTAACTTCTATTCAATAGTATTTTTAATAAGTGAAAAAAGTAAATTTATAGAACAAATATAAAATATAATAGCGAATGAGTAAAAACAATTTCAGTTCTTTAAAAATAATTTTAGTTCATTAAAAATAATATCAATTTAGCAAAAGTAATCTAAGTTCAACAAAATTAGTAAAATTTTTATAACCATAATTTCAGTTTAGCAAAATTCATAAATTCTTATATGTGACCAACCACATGACATGTCCACTTTACATACAATTAACTTAAGACAATTAATTGTGTAATAGGGGTACATACATTGATGAACAAATGGAGTTACCTAGATAGATGGAGGTTACTATAATGGAAAAATGTGTTTGCTTTTATAAACAAATGCACTTATTCTTTAAATAATGAAAACAAAAATATAGGGGTTACTCAAATGAACAAATAAAATTATTATTTTTTTATTTAATTGATGTTACTTGCATAATGAATTAGGGTTACTCTATGGATAAAAGAAAGTTACATTACTCTGACCTTACTCATATGAATAAGTAAATATTATTTATATAACCAATTGATTGTTGATACAGTGGTGATTAGGGCTGCACTTGGTAGGGAGGCCCGTGTGTTTGATCATCCGCAACAACAATTGGGAGGGGAATGAAACCTAACCACCCAAAGCTGAGCCCCGAATCCAGATTAGTCCAAAGGGTGAATCAGGTCGGAAAAAAAAATATATTTATGTAAGCAAATGTGGTCATATCATGTGGCTAGCCACACACATAAGACTTAGTCATAAAAAAAATTATATTTATATTTTTACTAGATGAAGCCCGTGCGATGCACAGTTTGTTTGTATTTTTTCAAATAAAATATTTTACTAATATATATATTTATCTAATAAACTTTGTGATATTCGCTTGCTTGCTACTTGAATTTTTTATTAAAAAATGAATTATTAACTTTGTATCTCATATTAAGATAAACTTTGTAATATAAAAAGATAATATTTTATTTCACAAAGTTTCATATGTGGCTAGTCACACCGTGTGGTCGGGATTACTTGCTCAGGAGTTACTTGGTTGGTCAATGCTTACTCAATCGATCAGGGGTTACTCGGACGGTCAGGGGATACTCGGTCAGTGTTTGGGTCTGTCTCAGCCGGCCACACGATATGGCCAGGTACACAAAAAACGCTCTCATTTTATTTTTATAATTAATATAAAATTTTTGATTTAAAATAAATTGCAATTCTTTTTTTAATTGGCTAAAATATAACATTTTTTATGTGACGCTCTAAAATTAATCTTACGTGGCACAATCCTATTGTAGCGTTAGATTGACGGGAATAATCCCAACTTTGGTTGATTCGCTCAAAATAATCTCAACTTTCGATTATTTTTTAATAATTCGAACTTTAATATCAATTTGTTTCTAATGGTCCCAACCGGTCACCTAACTTGTTATAACAAGTTAGATGACACGTGTCGGCACCTGTTTAGTAAAAAAATTAAAATTAAAAAAATTAGAAAAAAAGTTAATTTTTTTTTCAGAAATTATTAATTAAATAATTAAAAAAACCACCCCAATGGCAGCAGCCCCAACCACCCTCTCCGCTAGGGCTGAGCAAAATTATCCGAAAAATCGAAAACCCAAAAATCCGAACCGTAACCAAACCGAAAATTAGGGTACCCGTTTCGATAACCATAACAGTTCGGGTACCCAATCTGAAAATTTGTTATCGGGTACGGTTATTGGGTATCATTTTAAAATTAACGGTTACCCGATCCGATCCAATAAGCAATTTTTTCTTTTTTTTTTCCTACTTAAATCTATTTATCCAAAATCTAAACTCTTTCTTTACTTTGTAATCACTTCATAATTTAAATGATTAGTAAAGTAATTTGGTCATGATCATGTGGTATTATTGTTGATTAGTGTTGAATGATATCATAATAACTATATTAAAAAGTCTAAATTTTTATTATTGGATATCATATTGGGTACCCGATAATCTATCCGAAAATTCGGGTACCCGAATTTATTGGTTCGGGTAATGGATATCATTTTTAGTGTTATTGGTTATTGGGTACCCGAACCGATAGTGTTAACGGTGCGGGTACCCGACCCATGCTCACCCCTACTCTCCGTCACTTACCCCGCCAGCCTGACCCCCTTGCTCCCAACTCCAGCCATATCCAGACCCTCTCCCCCTGCGTCGGCGTCGCTCCATCCTACCCTCTGAACCACCAACCCTCCACCCTCACGTAACCCTCTAAAACCAACGGCTCACCATCGAGTCAGCCGCTGCTGCTCTTCTCCACTCCCTTGCTTTCCTCCCAAGCGCCGCCCAACGTCGGCTTCTTCCATGGCTGCTTGTTCGCTGCCTTGGCTCTTCCGACCATGCCATTGATTCTGCTTAAGCCACTGATCTTGGATGCCACCTTGGTTACGGTGGTTGTGGTAGGGATGGGTATTAGGTTGGGGAGGTAGGGTGGTGGAAGTGGATGGGTTGGTGTTAGTGGCTCAGGGGAGGTAGAGTGGTGGAGGTGGCTGGGTTGTTGACTCGTTGGTGTTGGTGGCTGGCGTGATTTGCACTTTGCAACATTAAATTGCTTTTTTTTTTTAAAAAAAAAATAAATTATTTTTAATTATTTAGTTTTAAATTAAGTGTTAATTTTTTTTTTAAAAAAAGTTAATTAAGTGTAGTAATTTTTTTATAAGAGTTAATTAAGTATTAATTTTTTTTTGTATAAATAATTAAGTGTTGATTAGTAACAAATAATAATTTTTTTAAAAAAAATTAAAATTAAATCTTACTTTTGACCAATCACGTGGTGCCACGTGTAAATTAAACCAAAAAAAAAAATTACCTACTCAACAAGTTATCGGTCACTTGGGACCATTAGAAGTAAATTCATATTAAAGTTCGGATTATTAAAAAATAATGGAAAGTTGAGATTATATTGGGCGAATCGAGCAAAGTTGGGATTATTCTCGTCAATTTTTCCTTAAAATTATTAATCCTACGTGGCGATTTTTTTATTATACTCCTACGTAGCGCTTAAAAAAAAAACTAATCTTACGTGGAAAAATTCTATTGTAGCGTTTTAAAAATATAAATCCTAAGTGGCGCTTTAATAAATTTTTAAAAATTAAAATTCTAAGTGGCGTTCTAAAAACTCGTGAAAAAACTCCCCTTTATATTGCATAATAATGGATCATTATTATAGTATGAACCGAAACACAAATTCTTATATGTGGCTAGCCACATGGTGTGACCACTTCACATAATCACATATAAGGCATTAATAAAGTAATAGAGGTCACGGTGATGAGCAAATGAGGTTACCTTAACGTATATAAGGTTACTTAAATGAGAAAAAAGGGTTACTTTCTTAAATAAGTAGAATTATTCTTTTATTTTTTAAAACATTAAAACAAAAGAATAGGGGTTACTCGAATGAACAAACGGGGTTACTTATTTCTAAATTGCTTGATTTTACTTGTATAATGAATTTGGGTTACTTTTATAGACTATATGAGATCAGTAGGTTACTCTTATGAAAAAATGAGATTACTCATACATATAAATAAAAATTGTTCTAATAAACTAATGTGCCCCCAATGTGTAGCTAATCATGTGTAAGACATACCCAAACCGAAAATAAGGTGATCCAAATAAACAGAAAACACAAAAACAGCATTACACGCGCTAAGAAACGGGTAAGAATGATTAAAGTCTGGAAAGAAAGAAGCAAAGATTAAACTTTAAAAATACCAAAAATTTCCACTGTTTTTCCTCCTCTCTTCTACCATAATGTTTGTTTGTACACCAAATTAATTGCACTTTGCAAAATCCCATAAATCAAATCAAATTTCCAATCAAAATCTTCTAAGTTAGAGAGAGGAGGAGAGAGTGTGTGTGTTTGTGAAGTGGGAGTGGTTAGAAAGAATTTTGTACTCTCGTTGAAGATTTCGATCAATTTTTTACCAATTTGGTTTAATCTTTGAAGTTGGATTGAAAAAAGGGGATTTTGGTTGTGTAGAAGTGTAATCCTGGAAAACCCATTTCTTGGATTTTCAAAGTTTTCATCTTTTTCCTGGATTTTTGAGGTAATTTGGTACTTGTACTTAATTTTAGTTTCTGGGTATTTTTGATTATTGTTTGTGCATCTGTTGTACTCCGTATCAATTGTTTGTTAATTTTTAAATTTTGATAGTGATTATTGGCGTGTTTTCAGCAATTCAGATGTTAATTATGTTAATAAGATATGTCAATTTAATTTATTTTATTTCTTGGTTAAAATTTAGTCTGTTTTGAGTGATTTTCCTTCATAATTGTTATATGAAAATCGAAAATTAGGGTGGAAGAGTAAATTATATCGTTGGTAAGTTTGTTTCTTATGTTATTTGCACTGTGTAACACTTATTATCAAATTCTCATCTCACTGGGGGCAAAGAGGAGTTGAATTTGGGGGGTGGGGGTGGTTGAGGTGGGGGGCTGAGAGCCTGAGAGTGGTCATATTGGCATGCCCGCGTGTATCAATCCCGAAAGAAATTGAATTTGGATGGTCTTGAATACTTGTGCTGATTCATTGATGTATAATTTTCTTTGTAATTTATGTATGAATTTTGGAGTTAAAAGTATGGACATTGCATTTGTTGAGTTGAATGAGCTGTGTGTTGTTGGTTATTGGCAGAGTAAAAGATACTGGAGGTTGGTTAGGATTGACATGCTGAATGTTGCTTCCGGTGAGTGGGTTAGGGATGAATTCTACAATGGATGACATGAATCTGATTCAGCAGAGGCATCATTTGGTAGTTAGAGAACTTGGAGTAGGAGAAGAAATCGACTTGGAAATTGGTCCTGGGGATGATGATCCATCGTTTGCTAGTGCTGCTCTAATAAGTGCGCCACGTGAGCCCTCGGTTGATGAGCAGGATGAGACTAAGCAAATACAAATTATGCCATCTCTCCAAGATGACAATCAAGATTTATCAAAAGGTCAGCCATTGAAGAAAAAGAAAAAGGTTGTGAAACGATGGAGAGAAGAATGGGCTGATACCTACAAATGGGCATATGTCGATGTCAAGGATGGAACTGCAAGGATCTTCTGTTCTGTTTGTCGAGAATATGGCAGGAAGCATAGGAGGAATCCCTATGGAAATGAAGGCAGTAGAAATATGCAGATGAGTGCCTTGGAAGAACATAATAATAGCTTGTTGCATAAAGAAGCTGTTCGGCTACAAATGGCTTCCAAGGATAAGATTGTTGTTGATAAACCTATGTATGTTAAAGGTCAGTTTTGTTTTTCCTATCCATTTCTCCCACATTCTCATTAACTATAGGTTCCTATTGTGCATTTTAGTAGCCGAACCCAATTTATTAGGTGAAAGTGTCCTATTGATTCTATAGTACTCCGTATTTATTTCATTTTGTGCATTGAACAAGCTTATTAAATGAGCACGGTGCTTTCTTTTGAGAATATGTAGCAAGAGAAGAGAACTTGATGGCATGGATGTAGAATTCTCTGTGGTTTTTTTTTTCCCTTCCCACTAGGTTTGCCGTTTGCCATTTGATTATTTAGCCCATAGAGACGTTAAAACTAATTTGAGACAATAAAAAATATTTGGTGTTTTCTGTAACTCTAAGTCTCTAACTAATTGCATTTTTTTAGGAAAACGATCTACGATAACCATCTATTTAATGACAATATTTTATCGACTTTGCTCTCGATAAATGAGTTTACGCTTCTGATTTTTCTTCTACTCTAAGACTCTAACTAATTGCACTTTAAAGAAAAATATCTATGATAACCCTCAATTTAGTGATGAGATTACGGCTTTGCTCCCAATAATTGAGTTTCCACTTCCATTTTCTTCTACTTTAAGTCTCTAATTAATTGCACTTTTAAGGAAATTATCTATGATAACTCTATTTGGTGACAAGATTATCTCAGTCTTTATGCATTCCGTAAATGAGTTTCCGCTTCCGATTTTGGTTGACATGCATGGTGTTTCTATCTGTCATTTTCAGCTGAACGATTATACTAATATTTTGACATGAATGCTTTTTGTCAATCTTGTTAAAATATAGTTGCATTTGCTTATTCAAATTTTCTTTTGTGGTTTTTGTATAACGTTTTCTACAACATGTAGCTTTAATGTCAAAAACAGCTGGATCAATTGTTGAAGCTGTATTAAAAAGAGATCCTCATGAGGTGGAATTTATTCAGTCAGTACAAGAAGCAGTGCATTCGATTGAAAGAGTAATTGGAAAGAATTCACAGTAAGTTAGCTACTTGTATAATCATTTGTTATATTATGTTCACAAAGACAATTTATTGTCTGAGTTGGCTGTTAACTTCTTATGTTAATTTTCATTTCAGTTATGTTAATATAATGGAACGTTTGCTTGAACCTGAACGTGCAATTATTTTTCGAGTTCCATGGGTTGATGACCGGGGTGAGACACATGTTAATCGAGGATTTCGGGTGCAGTTTAATCAGGCGTTAGGTCCATGTAGGGGAGGAATTCGTTTTCATCCATCGATGAACTTAAGTATCGCCAAATTTCTTGCTTTTGAGCAGGTATAATCTATTGTAATGAATATTTTCCCATCCCTACCTTGTCTAAATCTAAATGGGGATTAATGACAAGACAAAATAAAACTGTAACTACTTGCACTTTGTTCAATTCTGTAATTTACTTTAAATAAGTTGTTAATTCATTGTTCAAAAGATGTTTCAATGGTATATGGTTAATATTTTTTGTTTTCCCTCTTATATGTAACTATCATCTTTACTTTCTACCATAAAGTAATTATGCGCTTTCTTAGTGATATACTTCCTCCGCTGTTTTTAATTGCAACGCTTGATATGTTACTCACTTACACCCCTCTTTTGAATATCTTTTGTGATTTAATTATTTAAATGTTAAGAAAAACATAATGATGTGGCATCTTGTTAGATTCGTCTCTGGATGTATGCTTTGACAATACTTTCTATAATATTTACTAAAATGTAAATTAAGATATTAAAGAGAATGAAGGTAGTATGGAAGAATTTTTGTCATGTTGGCGTTGTAGTTACATATTAAGCTATGCTTTTGCATATCTACACTTGTTTAAGAAAGGTTTACTAAAGAGCCTTTTGGAAAATCAAAAGGGGAAATTATGAAATCGAGAAAGGGATAGGGGGAGAAAGGAAAAAAAAAAACTCCTAGATTTTTCTTGTTTGTTTAAAGAGGAGAAAGGGAAAGGAAAAATAGAAGCCTAAGCGTAGCACGACCTCTATCGCTTTATTGCACCTTGATCCTTTTTATACATTGGGTGGGAATGGGGTGGCAATGGTACTTGTGGTGGTGGCAGTGGCGGGGTTAGTGAGGGTGATGGTGGTGGCGGTGGCGGGGTTAGTAAGGGTGATGATGGTGGGATACAGTGGTGCCGATGACGGTGGCGGGATACAGTGGTGCCGATGACGGTGGCGGTGGGAACATCAACGTAAAGGAGTTTAGGGGGAAGGAGAGGGCAGAGGGAATGATTAGAATGACATAACAAACAATTTTGGGTCTAAGAAAAGTATACAACTGGCCTTTCCTGTTCATATGATATAGAATAATACATTCATTTAAAAGATTAGAAGTAGGACAGCAGATTTGCATGTAATTGCCTGCCTGTTCTTGCTAACAGTTAATTCATATTGCAGACTCTAAAGAATGCTTTATCACCATACAAACTAGGAGGGGCGGCTGGTGGAAGTGACTTTGATCCAAAAGGGAAAAGTGATAATGAGGTACTTTTGTTCATATCCTTGTGGTCTAGTTTCCGTATTTCCTTATTAGTTTTTGTATTCTTTGTCTCCCTAAATATTTTTTTTTCATTTATTATTATTTTTTTGTTTCACTTTGGATGCCATAATTCATTCTTGAATTTACTTGTATCTACAGATTATGCGCTTCTGTCAAAGCTTTATTAATGAGCTGTACCGGTATTTAGGGCCTGATCAGGTAATCTGAAGCTTTTTGTTCCTTGTTTGATGATATTGTGCTCTTTTTTATTATGATTGTAAGTCATGTCTGGTCAATCTTCATATATAACAGGATCTTCCTTCTGAAGAAATGGGTGTTGGTGCTCGGGAGATGGGTTATCTTTTTGGGCAGTATAGGCGCCTTGCTGGTCACTTTCAGGTAAATCAGTCATTTAGGGTAAATAATGTCATTTTATTAAGGAGCATTAGTTTTATTATGCTACTGCTTTCGACAGATTACTATTGTTTTTTTCCTTTTGTATTTGTATTTTCTATGTACAGTTTTTTAACTCTTAGTAACCATCTAAACAAGAATGATTCTTATTCTCTCACTGTTTTGACTGGCTGAAGCCTGAAGGAAAGTTGCATACCTCTTTTGACCTTAGTTTATCATATTAAAGGAAAGGGGAGGTTGGGGGGGGGGGGGTTCTCTGTTCTAGTCATGGTTCCAAAATTCAGGTTCAATTGCATCATGGAAACAGTTATGGTGTCGCGGGAAATGTAGATATGGTTCAGGTTGCGTTTGTCGTGGTTCTGGGCTTTAGAGTGTAATTTTTAATACATTATGTGTTAAAAATTTGCTCCCTGAAAATAATAATATAACCTTAGTTTTTTAACAGTGAAAATGTTGTGGAAGTAAACTCCCTGAAATGGCCTCATGAGAAACATAAAACCTGAGTCACACTCACTTATTGATAAAGCGAGTTTTAGGTTTTTATTTCCATTTTTTTCTGCATTGTCCTGGTCGTGTGTTAGCTGAGAGCAGCTTGCTGTGAGCTGAAGATGCATTATGCTTGTTGATGATAGAACTATAGAAGATAAGGAGTTTCCTGTGTTATTAAGGAAGATAGATTATTGTGGAAAGATTATTGTGGAATGTTGCATTAGCTTCCAACTTGGTCATATTTACATGTTGGTCTATCTATTACTTGGAGACAGCCTATTAGTAATTTACTGCCCAGATAATTATCAGTAGATATTAAGTTATTAATAGTAACCTACAAAAGTTTGTATGCATCAAATGGTATCCCTTGACAAATTGTTCATTAGCTAAGATTCCAAAATATTTCAGCATTATCATCCATGGAACTAGTCATGGAGTCTTTTAGACAAATTCTAGTACTTATATGTTTCTTTCAAGATAGTTATGTAGACACCTTTAATTTCTTTCCTTTCATTTCACATCATCTACTCTGCTGAACTAATGCCTACAATTATTGTGGCAGAAGCAAATAATCTCGCATTTTTCTGTTCAATTGCTTTCTTACGCAGGGAAGTTTTACAGGATCACGGGTTTTCTGGTCTGGTTCTAGCCTACGAACAGAAGCTACTGGCTATGGGCTGGTAATCTCATCTTTCACTTATTATGCTTTGCAGTCTACTTTGAATTTTCCATGGGAGTTTTTTAAAAAAATTTGATATTCTCAATTTGTTGCATATATTTTGACCTAACTTATCTCCATTGTTCTAGTTTTGAGAGTTGTTTCTGGTCAACTTTGCATATGTCATTGAGTGGAATTGACAAATGTTCTTATATCTGCAGGTTTTCTTTGCCCAGCTCATTCTAGGAGATTCAAGCAGAGAATTGAAGGGTTTAAGGTGTTGGATTTAATTGATGAGATTGCAGTTTTTTTGTTTAAAGTTATATATCATTTTAATGATGTGTTTAGATTTGGGATCTGCAGAGGTCTCTTGATCAGTTTTATTTTGAAAGAATCTTTCAAAGAAGAAATAGATAATATCTGTAGATATGGATTGATCCCGATTATGATTTATTATTCCAGGTGTGTGGTAAGTGGCTCTGGGAAAATCGCATTCCATGTCATAGAAAAGCTTCTTGCTTATGGCGCTGTTCCTATCACAGTATCAGGTAAAAGATTTCTGGGAGATTGATCCTAAGCCAATTTGCAATGTGCTGAACACTTTTTTTTTAAAAAAAAAAATAATAAAGTTTTACAGACTATCTTCTCAGTACAGTTACGTCAAATTACCATGATGTTAACTGTTTTACATTTTGGAATAGTTGCAAGTTTACTGAGATTAGGATATTGAAGGTCTTTGTTGCTTGATTCATTTATTCATTTGACATCATGGTAGACATGGACAGCTCAGCATGTGCCAAAATTAAGCTCCTGCATCTAGTGCTTCTCTGTTCATCCTATATTAGTTTTCTTTATGGATGTACTATTTGTCTATTTTAATCTCAACGCTGACTGATTGTGGACAATTTAGATAGTTATTCTGAGATGAATTTCAGTAATGATCACAATATTTCTACTCATTAGTTATATTCTGTTTGTATGTGACTCCATTAGTGACATATCCTTGTGCTGAAATGCTTGTTACAGATTCAAAGGGCTATTTGGTAGATGAAGATGGCTTTGACTTCATGAAAATTCAGTTTCTCAGGGATATAAAAGCTCAACAAAGAAGTTTGAGGTCAATCTTTCTAGCTCTTGCTTTTGTTTTACTGTAGATACATTTAAATTTATATTTTGTGGTTTTTAACGTCTATGAGGTATCTTACTTCTTTGGGCCTGGCAGGGATTATTCTAAAACTTATGCTCGATCAAAGTACTATGATGAAGCAAAACCTTGGACTGAGAGGTGTGATGTGGCATTTCCTTGTGCTACACAAAACGAGATAGATCAATCTGATGCCATAAGTTTGGTCAATTCTGGTTGTCGTCTTCTAGTTGAAGGTACACCTTTTATTTGTGTCAAGTCTCAACTTTTTCTGTAGTAAATTCCTGTTACTGATTATCTGATTGTACCTTAGGTTCCATCATGCCTTGCACCCCGGAAGCGGTTGATGTCCTAAGGAAAGCCAACGTTGTAGTTGCACCAGCTATGGCTGCTGGTGCTGGAGGGGTAAGACTGCTGTTATGCATATACTTGGTAATTTGGTATTATCTTGGTTGCTATGATAAATAGTTTAAGAGTTGACCAAGATAGCCTTTCCGACTAATTAAACTTTATTAAACGAGACACAAAAAAAGTCATGAAATTAGAGAATAACTATTGCTTTCCAGATTTCTCCACGATGCTTGTGATTTTTATTTGTGAAACTACAATGATGTTGCATACAGGTTGCTGCTGGAGAACTTGAACTAAATCATGAGTTCAATCTAATTCAATGGTCCCCAGAAGACTTTGAATCAAAATTACAGGTCAGCCATGTTCAGTATGATATATACCTCTATATAAACCTTTATAATTTTGTTTACGGTCTAAAGTTCCAAACAGATCTCAGTGGATGGCCTCTCTTGACTTGATGCCTGAGCATCATGTTTTACCAAGTTTGATGTTCTTTAGCTGACAATTGGTACAACCCTCTTGCTGTGAGAGACTTTGTTAAAAAAAATTTCCTCCCTTTTTGGCGTTTAACATTTCTTTATATACACTGTATATGATTTTTATATTGTATACTTTCAACTTCAAATTATGCTATTAAATTGTGGTTTAGTGTAAAAGAAATCAAACTAGCTGGTTAAATAAAATGATCGAACCTTAACTACTCTTGATTTGCTTAACAATCATCTGATGATTCCTTCATGTTGTTGGGTCTTCCTAGCTATATCCAAAGCTAATGTCTTCTGCCTTATATAGTTCCTTATAACGATATCTTTTTGCCCAATTCAGCAATTTTCATGAGAATTTTTCTGTGGATACCATGGTGCTCTTGACTATTGGACTCAATCTAATTTTTTTAGTGTTTGTGGACTATATGCATACTATAAAAATGTTATAATTTCATATGCGATGAATGCTAGCAAAGATATTCCAATCTGTTTTGAAGAGGCTATGGATCTTGAAATGCTAGCGACTTTACTAGATGGTAAAAGAGATGCTCATATGAAATCCTGGCAATGGCTAATGTGCTGGAAGGTGATCTTTGGTGGAGCCTGTCAGTATGACATGCTTGAATACTCCCATACCAAACCTCTTGTACATTTTTACACAAATTTTTCTCTCTTTTGTGTTGGTCCTTTTATTATATGCTCACAAACATATGGTAAAAGGATTAGTTCAATTATTGAGTTTGGTAAAATTTAAAGTATAAGTTACTAAATTTGAAAGTGGCTTTTTTTTTTGGGATGCCAAAAGATTGAAATGTGGTCTTTTATTAAGGAAAAGGAGTAGACCTGTGATATGTATTATGTAGTTTGTATAATTCAAATTGTGCATGATAATTACTGTTTAATATCTTGTTCCATGTTTTGTTAAGATTGAAATTCTGTGAGATACTAAGTCTTTGTACTATTACCATGACAGGATGCCATGAAACAGACATATCAGAGAGCTTTAAAAGCAGCAACAGACTTTGGTTATGAGAAAGAAAGTCCCGAGTAAGTTGCAATACCAAGTACAGTAGCCCTTTTTTGTCTTCCAGTTTCTCTAGAATGTGTCAATGGTGTAGAGAATTAACGTTAATTGTCGTAAGAGGTTAAGGATATAGTTCTTTCCCTGCTCCTTGGAGATGAAGGAAACTGATTATATTATGACCCTCCCTTACCTGCTCTAGAGCTGGAGCCTTTTTAAAGTTTACTGGGAAAGTATAAATATTGATTTTTTATAAGACCTAAAACTTGTAGTAGACCTCTAATCCTGGCTCAGTGGTCAGGTCATAATTGTCCTACATTCTTTTCCATTGCTTAGCCCACCTGACCTTTCTTCTTTCTATTCTTGATGACGCACAGAATATAATTTATTCTTAAACATTGTAACTGTCTATTATTTCCTCTGGATCATCCTCTTTAAATGAGCATGTCATATCGTTTTATATCATTTATTCTGCTGTATTTTGTATCACGTGTACTTAGCTGGTGTTAGACTTATTAGTTGTTACTATAAGCTTGTGGTGAAGGTTTTGAATACAAAGAAAAATTGTTTATTTTTAATTAATTAATGTAGGTGTCAGAACTTATTTGAAAAATTGCTAGTGTCACGTCACCATGCACCCATGTGAAGGGAGGTTCATTTAAATTTGAGGGACATAGCAAGTTTTTTGGGGAAGTAGCTCCTTTTCATATGATTCGAGCTATTCATCCCATGATTTGTGCAGTAACTTCATCTAGAATTTCATTTATGATTAAATAGCTTAAAAATAATACTTTTGCCTAATATATAATACTTCCTCATTCTTTTACTAAATAAAATTGCAACACTTACAAATGGTAAAAATTTCCTTCTTTTAGTCTTCATCTTCTAAAATCTTCTATTGCAAGAACATGAGGAAATTGAGAGTTTATTTTTGTTGTGTAGATTTCTCGACTTTTAAAATTTAATACGGCATGTAGCTGAACTTCTAGTTTGGATTTGCTTTTGTTAGGTAATAATGCTGTCATTTGCCAGTACCTGATGATTTTTTTTGTTGTTAACATCTGTACTCACATGCACTTGCCATTTCAATCTACCTAGTCTGGCTTCCCTCAATTTATGTGATAAAGATTTCATGTGGAATTGTGTAACCTTTTGAGTCAGTGCACTTGTATGAATACAAAGTTGTTCCTATCTAATCCTAGTTTCTTATATTCAAAGAACATTGGGGTCAGTTACATTGCTTTAGATCTGGATAAGTTGTTTTAGTGTGACCAACATGCTATTGTTGTCAGCAGCTAATTACTTATCTACCCCTTCTGAACTCTGATTTCTATGTTTGCAATTGCCGAGAGGAGTATGAAAGTGTCATTTGAACCATTACAAAATATGCATGCACGGTTGAAGCTAGGCCATTACTTTACCTTCTATATTATTGGGTCAGTCTACCTAATACATGAGTTGAGGGTCAATTTACATTTGATTATCTTATTCTAATGTCTTTTCCTTCCTTTTTGTTAGGGTTCTGGTGTATGGAGCTGCCATTGCTGCATTCCTAACTGTTGCACAAGGTATGACTGATCAAGGATGTGTGTGAAGGACGACACAAACCGAGCTCAAGGTATGACATATCAAGGATGACTTGCCATTTGCCCCATAATAGTGCTTATAATGCGCGTCTCCCGGCTAATGTGCTGGTGTGAGATTTTATGGCCGAATATTCTCTCCACTCTCGAAGAAAGTGGTAGAATCTTACAAAGTTACAATCTGATGCTGCAGCAAATATCCAGTGCTACATCTTAGCACACTGTAGCGCATGTGTAATTGATTATATATATAGTTACAATCTCTTGGTAGAATTAGGATCTTGAAAAATGATCTGGGAGATATGTATTACCATTCTAGTCGATAAATAGCCTGCAAACTCCTTTTTTCTGGTTGTGTAAATTGTGTACTGTGATGTTAGCTGCATTAGTTTGCAGGACAGAAATGTAAATTCTAAGTGGATACAAGAAGTTGATCATTCTTTCTCCAAATTGGTGAAAAGGTTTTCTTTTAACCAACTGAAACCAAAATAAAGAACCGCGCCTTGTAAGGGAACGGGAGGAATAAAAAAGAAGACACTAGTCATTGGGTCACTTGCAAGAGTTGCAACGAACCTTTGTTCTGCCTCGTCCCCTAGTCGGTGAACTATATTTGTCTCCCAATGCCACCAGTGAACCACAGTTTGCAAGAATATTGGCTTAATCTGGTGTATGGTCTGGCCAAATTTAGCTACCACAGACTCGAATTATATCGTCTTTGTCCCTTAGATTTACACGATTTTTTTTTCGAACCAGCTTTACTTTCTGTTTAATATCCAGTCTTGCTAGGCTGCTGTAGGTGGGCTGGTGGCTATTGTGGGTGGTTTGATGGAGGTAGCACTGCAGTGGTGAAGAATTTAGTATGTGGAAGCGGGAATTATATAGCATGGTGTACTGGTGGGTGGCCTGGTGGGGGTGGATCGGTGAGGGTAAGGGTAAGGGTGGGCTAGAGTGAACGTGGTTGACTGGCTGTGATGGGGCTTGAAGATGGGTTTGGACGGTGGTGGTTTGGTGAGGCCTTTTTTAGATGAACGTTCTTGGGGCACTTGGTGAAGCGTTTCAAGAGGCAGCTCAACTCGTTACCAGTAATCTATGCTCGCTGCTCCATCAAGTTACTCAAATTTGGGTGCAAAGTTTTGTAAATTGTTACCAATACATCACTCGAGCATTGTATCTTATTTTATCCATAACCAAACATCTATACAAATATGACGTACACGAATGACTAATAATCCAAGATTTATTACTAAAACTAATTTGGGTCGGAGCGATACCTTATGTTATTACACGAATAATTATAATCATCATCTTATAGTTCATTTAAGTATTCCACTATTTTTAATTGTTTTTATTTATTAACATTTATTAAAATAAAACCATCTTTAGCCGATCTTCCAAAAATTAAAAAAATATTTTACTCCTAATTATTTCTAAATAAAACAACCTTTGACAAACATCTGCTAAATATTAATCAAAAACTGATAACCTAATTAAACCAAAAACGTGCCGTATTGTTAATGGTTAGAATTGTTACATTTTACTTTTTCAAAAATTCGATTTATACTTTGAAAAAAACAAATGACAAGCTAAACGACGCCCTTATTTTACCAAGTAACGCCGCATTTAAACATGAATGGACAAGCTTTCACGTGTTTTTCTTTAATTTTTTTTTATCCCTCTAACTCAATATAACATTCTGTCCTCCCAACAAACCACCACTGACTACCATTGACATAGGACAAGACCATCGGACTCATCGCCAAAGTTAAAGGTCATGTTTTTTATTTTATTTTTTGGATGGAGGCCAAACGTCTAATATTTTTAAAATTCTAGAGGAGAAATGCCTAGAATGTTCGAAATATATTTACCTAAAATAAATTATGGGTTTTGATCTCATTGGCATACACCACCAACCCACTCGCTGTAGTTAGTATCCTATACTTACCTAAAATAAATTGTACAGAGTAGAATTTATTATCCTATTAGAAGTAGGGATTCTTAGCTTATTGCCCAAGGTTAGCTTAGTATGAATACCACTCAAAGTTGTAAATAATACTTCGTACAAAGATTTCAAATACACAACGAACCCTGATTTGATCTTGAGAAAAACTTAATCGTTTTTTCTCAGTCAGTAAAATTAAATATGATGTATGAAGCAAAGTTAGGTGCTGTAAAAATATTTCGAATATTCCTTCCAGACGAGTTCCCTCAACATTTGCTCAACAAAAAAGGTTTGTTTCTTCTAAATCTCAAAACACATGAACAACAGAATTATTCTCTTAAGAAACATGTTTATTTCAAGGAGTACGCACTTAATACCGGTGCTTTTTATGAATTGGCAACACAAGTGATTTATGAAATTGGATCTTTTGTTGGTCCTAAATCAAAGCACCTCATTGCGCTAAAGATTTTAGACTATTTTAACTTTTTAAGTGTTGCCTCCGTTATCACAAGAACAAAGACGAGTGGTTTTCAGGAAAACACAGGTATCCCTATTGTCGATCTAGTGTGTTAGTCGGGTTTTTTTTTCCAAACTAAGCTATATTTAGAAAATATTTTGCAAAGTGGTTGCGTGGCAAAACTATTTACCAAACTAAGCTTCAGGGGTAAGACGTTTGGACAGCGTTTTATACCCAGGTTTTTGGTTTTTTTGTAAAAAAAAAATTAAGGTATAAAACGCTATCTCGGACAGCGTTTTTACCTGTTGACCTTTTTTTTTTTTTTTTTTTTTTTTAATTTCGTAAATTCTGATTTATAAAAAATAATAAAAACAAAATAAAATCAAAGATACATAAAACGCTGACCGAGGCAGCATTTATTTCATCAACATAAAACGTTGTTTAAATTTTTTTTGCACATAAAACGCTGTCCAAGACAGCATTTTTCCTGCTGGCTGCAGCACACAGCAACCAGCAGACTCCTCACATCAACTTTAGTTATTTACAAAATTTTCAGTTTTCAAAAATATTTTATTTCGGTCATATTTTATCCACTGGCGCAAGGCTTGGGGGCAGCACCTGCGCGTGGAAGGGGATCTGTGGCGGGGTTGGGGCTGGTGGCCGATGGCTGGACTTCAGCCTTGGGGTGGTGGGATTTTTTTTTTTTACTTATTTTGTTTTAATTTTTTTAATTAACTAAATAATTTAAATAAGAACTAATTATAGGCTGCCACGTGGCACAATGAACCTCAATAACTAAAGCGCCGTTCACTTCACCTTATTTTTGCTGAACATAAATTATTTTTGTTGAACTGAAATTATTTTAAATGAACTGAAATTAATTTTACTGAACTGAAATTATTTTTGCTGAACTGAAACTATTTTTAATGATTCTTTGTTATATTTCTTCTTTAAAGTTACTGATTTTTCCTGAACTAAAATTATTTTTACTGAAGCGAACTTAATTTTACTAAATTGAAATTATTTTTGCTAAACTGATATTATTTTTACTAAATATTATTTTTTTAAGGTGAAATGAACATGACCTAACAGGATTAATAGAAAAGTGTATGTTGTGACATTTTCATGAAACTGGATGATAGATAGTGAATTTGAAAATTTTTATGGTTATTTGGTGAATAAAGTTAAAAACTCAAGGAAATTTGGTGAAAAAATCGTAATTATAATCATAATCAAGATAACCAAGTTTCTCTGATGTCCAGATGATTTTCTTTTGATGACATTGAGAGAAAGTACTTTCTTTTGATGACATTGAGAGAAAGTACTATGAAGCAGGGCACAGTACGTAGCTCAAGAAGCAACCCCCATAGTCCAACAAGATTAGCCTCATCTTCTACAACTCTTCAATGGAATATCAACCACTCACAAGCTAGGCTGAAGAAGAAGAGAATGCTAGTCGAATGAGATCAAAGTCACTTTGGTGTAGTTAACCATGCGCTCAGAAGGGAAAAACCTGGGGGTTTTTCGTTCTTAGATTATACACCAGTACGAGAATCGGAGTACGAGTAAAAGTCAGATTTGACAAAGTATGCTGAAGCCTTCAGGGATTCTAGATCGTTACAGGAACACAAAAAATCTGCATCATATGCTAGTACTGGTCTACTGGATGGATTACTCCTCCCTTGAGGTAAACGAGCTAACAGTCAAAGTTCAATTCTTCTGTATTTCTTTGAGCATCGAAACTTCTTATAGGATTGACTTTTTCTTACAAGTAAAGCTTTGCAATGAAACATATTGAATTCTGCTCAATTTCAATTTCAATTTCTTACTGTTGTTTGATGAAAAATACACTGCTATTATGTTATTACAAACATGGAAATCGACACTATCACTCTTTATGTAGCGCGAAAAAAGTTTATTCAATCCCTCATTATCCAACCACTATAAATTGATAAGATAACCTACCCAAATTCATAGCATTATTCGTAAAGGGCTCTATGCTCTCTTAAGTCTTAACCTACGCCAGAATCAGCTAAAGATGCAACACATTCACTTACTTTACTTGAAGCTAGTTCTGTTACTTCTGTCCCAACATACCAAAATCATAAATGAAGCCGAAGAATAATAAACACAATATGTTACAAATATACATATACAATCCAGCTGAGTAGAACGGTTACTAACTTGATTTACGGCCCCTATATCGACTTGTATTGAGACAATAAGGATATATCATTATTTACTTACCTTGTAATCACATAATTGCATCCTCCAATGCTATACTTGTTCATGGGCAACAAGACCTCAATGATAAACTTACCAAAAACATGGTGTAATTATTTTACAGTAGTTCATCACTTCATTGTAAGAATAGTAATCAACACTATACAGCACAAATACAAGCTATTAATTTTTCATCCATTCTGGAAATCTATTACCTGAACTTTCAGCTGCTGTCTTTTTGGCAGAGATACATTTTTCGAATGCAGGACGACTCAATGCCAAAGACTCAATGCAAAATACTATGGATACAATAAAGTGCATTACAAGAATAATAAGGTGTCTCCTATATTGTAAATACGCCAACAGCGCAACTACTGGTTCACGTAATTGAGTAGCGAAAAGTTTACTTGTACAAACGAGATGGAAACTGATTATAACCTTACCGTTCCAGATGACAAAAATGGCAAACCACAGCGGTAGCCTCCTATATGCCTTTGACAATCAGTGTGCCGACAGGACATCAAAAAGTTTCTGACTAGCCTAGTATGTTGACCAAAGGAGCATATATATTGCTCTATTACCAAACTATTGAGCAGACATATTCGAGGATAATTGTAAATCTCATTTCTCAGCCAAATAATGCTCAAGCATGTCTTCTTCTTCATCATCTGGTAATGCAGAAAGATATTTACTTCAATATTAAATTAAATTCAGAAAAAGGTAACACAAAATATTACTTGTGCCATTTTGAGGGGAATTAAAGGCTTTTCCCATAATATCATAAAAATTTGTCCAAGTACATTCTCTACTACTAATAAAAACGGACTATTCAGGGATATCTATACTATTAATTCTATTATTAAAACTGACTGACAAGACATGCTATACTACCACATGAAGCTTGACCTTCTACCTCTAATGGGCCCTTTTGCATTATTAAAAAATAAAAAAAAAAAAAAAAAAAAAAAACAAAAAGAAAAAGGATGTACTAAATTTCAAACATGGAACTTCCAATTTAAAATGCAAAGGATTTAGCTGATCTAAATATTATATCGATAACTAACCTACTAAACTATGCATCTAAAAGCTAAGGGAAAAGCTTAAACGAATCTAGACAAAGCTTATACACCACTTCCAATTTCCATACTCATAAGCTAAGGTCAAAGGTCTATTTAGCTTCCTCTGTGATATAACACATCAAGGGGTCCACCACCATAATTGCACAAAATTAAGATGTCTACAACATAGTACTTAAAGTGATTCTTCTTTCGGCTTTCTAGAAGATGACACTCTTTAATTTGGAGAAATATCTTTCGTAGATGAAGGGATGGAGATGGTGATGATGAATGGACGCCCATCAAACCTGCCCATCAGGGAAGGGGGGTATGAGTTGTGATGTTTAGATTTCTCACATACTCGTGTTGACACTTGTAATTGAGTGGGTGAAGTTATTTTGCATTATCTCCCTCCCTCATACTGGCCTTCCACTCTATATCTACTACTCCCTCCGTTTTGGAATAATTCACTTGTTTCCTTGGGCACGTAAGTTAAGAAAATAATAGGTTGGGACCACAAAATGAGTGGTTTATGGTAAAGTTAGTAGATTTAGTAGTTCACATGCTTGTTTGAGTCATTTTGCCTTTGTTCTCCTAAATGACATGTACAGCTACGGATACACAATAAATCTGTAGCCATGCAGGAAATAAGGAAAGTAACCATTACACACACACACACAGAGTATTTGAAATTAATCTTACCTTCGAAGTCATCATCATCAAAGTCAATGTCTTCTTCATATTCTTCTTCAGAATCCTCCTTACTTGTCAATGCACCTCTCTGCAGAAAAATAAGGTTGCTTACAATCTAAAAAAAAAAAAAACAAACAAACAAAACAAAAGTCTTACAAAGATGTTTTTTTTTTTTTTTCCACACCAAGGTGGGCAGATCAAAGCACTCTAAAAAAAAAGGTGGGCAGATCAAAGTTTTTCATTAGCAATAAATTTTGGTTGAAGGTAGGTGAAAACATTGTTTTGGGGGGTTATGTTAAGATAGGTTAAAGTTCAGCCTATCTTGACCTAGTTTTAATTAAGTAGGGTAAAATTTGTGGGTATTTTTTTTATCTATACCAAATCTAAATATGCAAATCTTTCATCGTAGTCTAAAAAAGTTTGCATCACCATAAACATTAACCAAGTTCATCAATAATCAGCCTATTTAAACTGCATAATAGCCGATGAAATACAATATATATAAAATCTGTTCTCAACAATCTTCCTTTAAAAAAATGAAGGGAAAAGAAATCCCTATGACCAACCTAGCTTACCGCCTTACCTTCACCCCAAAACAGAGCCTTTAAACAATTTTTAAAAAAATTCCCAAAACTTATTATCTTGTTTCACCACATCATCTCATAAGGAAATAAATCTAAAGAGGTCAGGGTCAGAAGCTCACATACTTATCTAAAAGATTGTGGATTTCTTCTCAATGATAATCCTATTTCACATTTTGCACAGTTTCCAATGCAACATTAAGATAAAGCTATCTTCAAAAACAAATTATAAGAAGTTGATAGTTTATATTACCCATCAAAACGAATCAAACAAGATCTCAGATGGGTATATTTTTTCTTATAAATTCATTGAGTGAATACAGAGTATTAGATTTCATTTTCATATGAATCCATAAAAATTTCAAACAAGAGTACAAGGCTTTTAAGTTCTTCCCACTTTCCGTCAAAGTTTGTTCCTTTAAGTTCTTTCCTACAGAACATTCTTTTCTTTTATAGTAATGAAAAATCTCTTTTTATACCCACCTTTACCTTCAGTCCACTTAATCTATTTGCATGTTCCCATATCTCTAAACTTCTTCTATTTCCTACGCAAAAAGTCAAAGAAGGATTTGTTCCCTTCGTTCTTAAAAAGTTCATTCCTTTTCCTTTTGGCATGTTTTCCAATGCACATATTTTATCCCTACTATTGTTTAATTAAATGTTAGTATAAATTATAAAACTTCATTCTTAAAGCATTCACTCAGACGGATCAAACAAGATCCCACATGTTGTTTACCTGTTTTTCATTTATGTTGGAAATAATTTAGAAGATTTTCTTTGATTATGAATAGTGCCAAAACCCAAATGGAAAAACCTTTTAAGAATGAAGGGAATAATTTCCATCAACTCCCTCAATTTCCTTGGTATTAATTGCTACAGTAACCAAGGGGAGTGCCGGGTGTCTCTTCTTGTCCATCACAAGATCTAAGTAATGTACATATATAATAAGAGGAATGATAGCCCGAGGAAGGGAGAAAAAAAAAAATAAAAAAATAGATATATGGCCGAGCAAGAAATGAATACCGCTGCAGCAACTGCTCGCCCACTTTCAAACCACTGCCTTCCACTGAGCTTCTTTTCCTTGGTTGTTGTTAGAGCAGAATCTGGCATTAATCTTAAAGCAAAAGAAAATCAATTAGTATCAGGAACAAAAGCTGAAAGGGGAGTTGACATCAGACTTTCAGATTCAGTGTTAAATGCTTAAATCATCTAATTATATTACGATGAATAATATCACAGCAAGCCTTTTGTGATGAAGAAACATATTAGCCAGAAAATTTTGGTAGGGGGTGGGCCTGGTGACGATTAAAAAATGAGGTCGGGGAAAGATCAATAAAAACCTAACAGGCTACCGTAAAGGGGCACTAAGCAATTAAGCATACTGGGAAGCCAAACATACAGCAATACTCTCAAACAGAAAAATCAATCATGACCCAATCTATTAAGGGAAGGATTGATAAGCTATGTTCCAAATGTGGACTTATCTCCGATCGTCAAAGCAACTAACATTAAAAAGTCCCATGAACTTAGTTCTTTTAGATAAACTTTACCAGCTAAAATAGTGCGCCTTTTTGAAAAAACTAAAACAGATGCATTGAGAACAGATCAGTTTATCAAGGAAAAGATGTACTTATAGGTACGCCTTTTTAATTAGCTTAACTCAAGATTCAACAAGATTCTAATTAAAAGTAACACATGCTGCTTTATACCATAGGTTTCAATATCAAATACATTACTGGTAAGAATATTTTTTAAAATAAAAAGTAAATATTAAAAGAAAATAAAAAGCAACAAGTAATCCTCAAAACATAAAAAGAAGAGAAGAAACAGAACATGAAGAACTAATCAAGGAAGCATCTCTAAGGACCTCACCCTTGTACATATCCAGATTTCTAACTTAATCAAACCCGAGACATGGATCTTGAATCTATAATCATCGATTACAAAAGGCACATATACATTTTCTCAAGCATATGGTCATAGAAACCTTTACAGTGCAGATCAATAATAAGATTCCTAAAAAAAAATACCAACTTACTAGATGAAAAACTACATCCTACCTCATCACTATAAATCACAGCAGCAACAGTTTCTTCAGATACAATAAATTTCCGATTTACACTACAGATGTTAACTGAAAAGGCAACCTCCACCTCAGTAAAGATTCGAACTTCCATTTTATTTATTTTTGTTTCGGTTGAAAACAATGGGACCTTGCCGAAGGTCCACTAAAATGGAGAAGACTGGATTCGATCCAAGCTGTGTTGGGCCGAAGGTTTCCTGCACAGTGAACACACGTAAACTAGCCTCGGGGGTGTTTCCGAGGAAGGCCCCTCCGATGCTAAAGTCAGTACAATGTGTAAAAAGGAAGACACTATGCAAGAGAGTTTGTAGCTTGAGGCTTTTTTGGAGTATTTCTCAATGCAAGAATGAGCATATGAATTGCAATAATCCGTGTATGAGATAATGCATGTGTTGTTGTTGTGTCTGATCTCGTATGTGATGTTATGAGATGTCGTTGTGTCTGATGTAAGAATATGACTCTCCCCTTGAATGTGTTAATATGAGGGCTTTTATACCTCATCATACTTGGAGAGGTTGGGCTTTAGCCCAATTGGCTTACTTTGTGGGCTGACTTTTGACTTTTGAGCAATTGGAGAGTTGAACCTTGACCTTGGGCTTTTAATTGGATCATTTAGTGCCCAGGCCCAATTTTGACTAAATTGGACCCAAACAACTTGCCCCCCAGACCCGATTCGGAAGGATGACGGGTCGGGTTTGATTTAACTCAGAAAAGGAGGGAAGTAAATGATTTAATTGATCCAAAAATTTGAATTTAAACCGTAATTAATGAGATAACAACGGTTAATGATTTGCGGAAGTTGGACGGATAATGGGCGGTTTAATCACAAGACATGTGTTTAATGGTTACTTAGTGGGTACTTAAGAGAAATTAAAGCACAGACTCTTCGTATCCCGTACCTGGAGATATAAACAGAGGCGCGTCATTCTCCTCACTTATTCACCAACACAAACCCAGAATTCTTCGAGAGAGAATCCAAGAATCCGTATCAAAACTTCGCAAATTCCCCCGAGCATTGAGCTTAGAAACTGAGACTTGCCACTACGAACTCGTAAACCGGCAACTTTCGCTTCAGATTAAGGTAAATTCCTTTGATTTCAGTTTATTTTTCTTCGAATTCGAACTCCTTCCCCTTTTCTTTCGACTTTTCTCTTCGAAATAGTCCATGGCAAGAGGAGTTAGAGGTAGAGCCCGTGCTCCAAGAAGAGCAAGGCCGATTCCCGATCCTAGGAATAGGATTGGGACCTGGAATGGTCGAAGGCCGGAGTCTGACCCTGCTGATGGGATTAGGGCGACTCCCCTTTCCTCGGCTCCTCCTCAAAGAACGGATGAGCCGAGTGCTTCTGGACGGGACGATGAAATTCCCGCTGTCCTTTGGGATATCCTCCCTGGGTTTTCAGAGTGGGAGAATGCCGAAGTCGCTTCGGCCATGATAAAGAACCGCCCCTACTCATGGTGGGTAGAGAACGCCGATCAATATCGATTTGCCGAGCAAATTGAGTTGCACTACGGCATTTTTGAAGCTGATGGATATTGGTGCCGAATGCCCTCAGCATCCGATAGAATCCATCGTCCACCCCCGGGGTATGTGGGGGTGTACACGAGACAGCTTCAGTATGGGCTGAGGTTCCCTTTGGACGTTTTCGTCCGAGACTTGCTGATCCATTACAACATTTCCCTATGTCAGCTAACCCCCACCAGCATCCGAAGGGTGATGACATACTTATGGGTCTGCAAGTTCTTCAGATACGTGCCGAACCTGCACTGCTTCAGAAAGCTCCATCGGCTAGTGCCAAATATTCAGAGTGGGCACGGAAGCCATGGTTCTGGGTGGTATCGGATTGAGTCCCGGCCCCAATATTTGACCATGTGGCCAAATGACTCTTCAGACAAGGATTGGAGAGGTCAATGGATTTGGGTTAGGGCACCCATAGATCCGGGCCACCCTTGTGTCTTCAGCGCTCCCCGGTACTTAGCTGAGCCTGATCCCGAAATGGGAAGTCTAGGTCCCCCCGCAGATAACGGGTCGGATCCGAACCTGGATCAGCAACATATCTTCGGCAAGCTGCCGAACCCGGGGGGAAGTGGTCGAATGCAGCATATCCCGGAGACTTGGCTCCCCGATACGCATTACGTTTTCCAAGAGAACATGCTAGCAGCTGTTGGCCTCAGCCGAAAGTTTAAGGATGGTAAGCTTCTTCGGCTGGGGCCGAGGCTTTTTAACTACCTTTTTCTTCTCTCGCTTTGCTTTTTTATGCTGTGCCATACCTGAGCTAAACTTTTTCCCTTTCCTTTTTTCAGAGCGGGACGAGACCAACGTTGGTATTAACTACGCTCGTCTTGGTGTTAACCGAGAGCGAGTTGTAACTGAACGGGCCCCGTCTATCACTGAGCCGAGGCATAGGGAAGTTCATCTGGACTCTTCCCACTTCCAAATTGAGGCTGTTGCTCTGTATCAGAGGCAGAAGCCTTGGTGGAAGAAGAGAGACCCTTGGTTTCAGCTGCTGAACGAGGAAGCTGAAGCTGCCCGCACAGCCGAAGAGGTTGCACGGGTACTTGAGGCTTGTGAAGGAGGAGAAGGGTCCTCCAGAGCTGCTGAAGCCAAAGCTGCAGCTAGAGCAGCTGAAGAAGACGAGGCTTTGCTGAAAACCTCGGTGAGCTTTCAGACAACTTTTTTCTTTTCTTCTTTTTTTTTTTTTTTTTTTTTTTTTTTACTCACACTCTTCTTCCCCCCTGTCTGTTACAGTCTGAAGAGAGTAACAGACACAGAGAAGGCAAAGCTCCTGTTCGTCCCGAAGATCAAATACAAGAGTCTTCAGACTCAGATATGGACGAGCAGCCCCTTCTGAAAAGGCGCCGAAGGATGGCCATCATCGGCCCTCATGACTTTCAGCAGAGGCCGATGACCATCGGCGTCGCAATAAGGGATCCTGAGGAAGGCAATGGATCGCCGAGGGTTCCCCAGCCAACACCCCAATCTCCTCAAAAGACCCCTCCGCCACCTCCTGAGATGGAGGTGGATCAGAGGACTCCCGAACCTAAGGGAGTGGTCCAAGAAGAAATCAAGGAGAGTGCTGCTGAGCACGGAAATAAAGATGCCGTGATGTCAAGTGCTGAAGGCTTCACGGCAGATATCGCAAGAGAGGTTGAGGCTTTCGTCCTCACCCCTGAAGAAGAGGAGGTCATAGTACTTGACTCCTCTGAGAAGGACGATGCTGAGACAACCAAAGCTAATCAAGCTCCATCGTCGTCCTTCCCTTCTTTCCAGACTCTGCATTCTGGAGAAATGGGTTTCTCGGCCCCCCGAATTCCAATCCCAGATCACATCTGGGACCTCATATGGGGTCAAAACCGAGAAGGAGCTGAAGCCTACTTCGGCAGTTTTGCTGGCATGTCCGAAGTAGACAGGGCAAGGATCTGGTCGCTGAAGGCCACTGCTGGGATGGGCGAATCCAGTAGATCAGTTCCTGACCCAGCCAGGTCTAACCAACTGCTGATGATGCAGGTAATTTTCCTTCATTCCCTCCGAAATTCAGCTCTATTTTTTTTTATTGCTTATTTTTATTTTTTTTATTTTTTTTTTTTTTGTCTTCCTGTTTTCAGTTCGTGCACAATCAGACTCTCACTGTAGAGCTGATTGATACCCTACAAGATAGGGTAGACGCTGCTGTGCACGAAAGGAAGGTGGCTGAGGAGGAAGTTAAGCTTGCTAAGCTGAAGCAAGCAGCAGCTGAAGAGAAGCAGCAGGAGGTTGAGGAGTACGGTAAAAAAGCTGCCGAAGCTCTGAAAACCTTCTGCGATGCTATGGAGATGGAGGTTTTTCCCCCACTGATGGAAGGGGAAAAATTCCTCCAGGAGCATATGGGAGTGGACGTCTCCAAATTCAAGGCTGCTATTGAGAGCCGAATTCAAGAAGGAACTGCTGCACAAGCTGAAGTGCAGCAGCGTCTAGAGGCTCTTGAAGCCAGCCGAATGGCTGCTGAAGAGTTGCTCTTGGCCAAAGACGTCCAACTCTCAGAGGCTGCTGCTGCTGCTGAAGCTCAAAGAGCTAAATTCCAAGAGGCTGAGGATCAACTGCTGATCCAGAAAGTTGAAGTGGCCCAAGCTCAGACAAAGGCTTTCCAAATTCAGCAAGAGCTGAATGAGCTGAAGGGGTCCTCCTCCAAAGTCGCTGAACAGCTGAAGAAATCCAAGGAAGACTTGGAGGAGACCCAGAAGAAGCTGGCTGATGCTGAGGCTTCACTCAAGGTCCGTGTTTATACCCAAGAGGAATATGAGATGGGTTTCAGAAACGGATTCCGAGTATGCCGAAGACTCTGCCTTCATGCTGAGCCGAAGCTGGACTGGTCTAAATGTGCTGAGTGGGTCCAGAATCCCGAAGACCCTCACATGAAGTATGCAACTCCAGCTGAAGCTGAAATTCTTAAGGCTGAGGAAGCCGAAGAGGAAGCTGAAAGACTGGAGTTGGAAGCTGAGCAGAGGGAAAGGGAGGCTCGGCAAAATGCAAAGCCCGCCTCTTCGGCTGCTGGGGCTGAGGCCATCATGGGACTTAGGCTTTAGGCTTTTCGCCCGCTCCTTGACGGAGGCTTTTGCTCTTGCGGTTCTTAGCCATGGCTGCTAAGATAATTGCAAGATGATCTTGGTTAGGAATTTGGCTTAAAGATTTTTGAAAGTCTTCCCCACAGACGGCGCCAAATTGTTTCGGTTGAAAACAATGGGACCTTGCCGAAGGTCCACTAAAATGGAGAAGACTGGATTCGATCCAAGCTGTGTTGGGCCGAAGGTTTCCTGCACAGTGAACACACGTAAACTAGCCTCGGGGGTGTTTCCGAGGAAGGCCCCTCCGATGCTAAAGTCAGTACAATGTGTAAAAAGGAAGACACTATGCAAGAGAGTTTGTAGCTTGAGGCTTTTTTGGAGTATTTCTCAATGCAAGAATGAGCATATGAATTGCAATAATCCGTGTATGAGATAATGCATGTGTTGTTGTTGTGTCTGATCTCGTATGTGATGTTATGAGATGTCGTTGTGTCTGATGTAAGAATATGACTCTCCCCTTGAATGTGTTAATATGAGGGCTTTTATACCTCATCATACTTGGAGAGGTTGGGCTTTAGCCCAATTGGCTTACTTTGTGGGCTGACTTTTGACTTTTGAGCAATTGGAGAGTTGAACCTTGACCTTGGGCTTTTAATTGGATCATTTAGTGCCCAGGCCCAATTTTGACTAAATTGGACCCAAACAATTTTTTTTGACTTTTTTTTTCAGAGAGATGAGATTCTCTTGGATCCTCCAATAGCAAGACATCAACACTAATCCAGCTGGAATCAATCCCTTACTCCCTTGAAATCATTGACATAATTGTTAAAAAAAAACACCTGCTTAAATTAAGTCCATGTCTGTATCTCAGCAAAGGAACTATCACATTTCTCTTTAAAGAATTTCCAGATCTGCTAGAGAAAACTAAATACTGACATGATTGTATCCTCTCACTTTCTCACTAGCACCAAATTAGCAATTGAACCCTTGATATATCTTCAGAATAAAACTTTGAGACCCAAAAGAAAACTAACATATTTCTATCCTCTTACTTCTCTCGCTATCATCACATTAGCACTTAATGATAGGGGAAGCCTCCATTTAAAGATTACCATTATGAACCTCTACTTCCATATTCTTGTAATTATAAGAAAGACAGATAGAACCACACCACTCTATCTCCATTTAACATCTTCCTGGGTATAGCCATCAACCACAATGTTCATACTCAACAATCCTTACCATTTCCTTCTTTCACTGCTGCCTCTGTATAGCCCACCAATCTCTGAGCCATGCTACCCAAAGGCTCAACCTCAAATTACCTAACTCCTGGAAAAACTCTCGAGCTACCTACCACCTTGCCCATGAACCCATTAGTCCATTACAGCCTTGTCACTTCAACAACTTTCTCACTAAGCATTATCTTACACTCCATAAAACTATCAAACATAAGCCTCCCTGGAACAAAAACCATGCTGACTTACCCCTTGCCTAATATCAAATTTTCAAAACCTGTCATTTAAATCTAATTCAATCTTGACACACAAAAAAGAAATCCTACAAACCTCCTCAAAAAATTGATGCGACCCAGTTATACAAGATTAAAAGAGTCGCACACACCCACTTCCCATCAACACTACCAACCACTAACTTAACCATTGCCCATTCTCCAGAACCTAAACAAAACATCCATCTCTAAGATTTTCAAAAGCCAAACCAAACCCTTTGATCTGAACTGCATAGCTACAAAGATCCATTGCTTTAAAGAAAAGGTTACAAAGATAGATTCACAGTCTCACAATTAAAGGTTGTTAGTATATCAGTGATGAGAGGCAAATTAATTAGAGAAATGCAAATCGATAAGAACTCACTTGGCTCGCTCTAGTGCAATTTCTGCTTCAAATCTTTCTCTCCATGCCAAGAAAGTTTCAACAGTGACGGGTTCTCCATGTGGTACTATAACCTAATGAAAATATATAAAGATGTCTATTAACAGGTGCAAGCAGTAACAGCAGATAAAAGTAAATATACTTAAATCATAACAATAATTGATAATCTTACTCTATTTCTCTTGGGCTTAAATTTTTCAATATAGGAGCATTTTATTGCTTATAAGATTCTAATGCATATAACAATAGAAATCTTGCTAGTTTTCAAACATAAAGTTTGAGCTTAAAACACAACATATAATGCTCTAATGATAGGATTTGTGAGGAAAGGCCATGGGGAAAAAAAAAATATATATATATATATATATATTATATTCGTTTTTTTTTTTTTTTTTTTTTTTTGGGGGGGGGAGTATGGGGAAAAAATTGATTTTCTACCACTCCAAGCACTTCTTATAAGACAAATGTCACAGTTACAGAGTGTTTCAGATTCTAAAAAAAAATAACCACACTGCAGTTTACGTGATAAGTGTGAGGCTCTGGTAAAAAGAAATTTTTGGGCCAATACTTATTTCTCCACCAGAATTTACAGTTTAGGATTAAGATCAGAGAGAGAAACGGCATGTTATATGTTCCAGAGAGCTTCCTTTAGTTTCACTTTGTATTTGGGAGAGAACAAGCCTCTCAAAATCTTGTACAGTTGTACCTATCTATAATTACTGTTTGTTTTGCCAGATTCAATTACGATATCTTCTTCTCCTTCTCTTAATCTTCACTTTATTCCAATTAACTCTGCCCACTTGCCCAGCTATGTCAGTTCATAGCAATCCCTTGTCAAATAAGAAAAGAAGATAGAACTTCCCTGAAAGAAGCATTTTCCGTTCCCAGCAATAAATTTCCATTACAATCTCAGCATTAAAACTCTAAAGATAAGGATTGGAGGGTAAAAATTGACATCTAAAGGCAGCAACAGGTAAAAAAATCAAGAAAAGAAAAACACCATACTTCATCTTTTTCCTGTTCATCATCTGCAGCGCCATCATCCAAACTATCTTGACCAAATCTTCCACTCAGCCATTCTTGGGCAGTTGAAACTAGTGTATACACCATAGCCATCCCAAGGTTCTCAGTTGCCTGTTGTAAAACAAAAGGTAAAGAAATGTACCCATAGAAATTACCACATATACTTCATAACAACATAAGCATACATTTTTATTATTATATAAGGAAAATATAATCATAAGGAAAAATATAATCATGTGGCGACTCGTTAAATTTATCTCAATATGTATATTCAGAATATCAACTTTTAATAACATTTTAGAAAAATATTAATAGTCAAAGTCTTACATTAGCAGGCTTGAAAAGATAAAGTGTTGAGATTTTCCGTAACGGGGACATTAAGGGGTTAGTAATTAACTGCACAGTAGCTTACCTCTTTTTCGAGATTTTCTTTCAAAGTTCTGAGATCTTCAGTTGGTATACCCCGTATACTGCAAATTGCACACACTAATTAGCCATACTGGACATTAAAGTGCATAACATTCTTTTCTAAAAACGAGCACTTTCACAGCACACACTGACCATATGGCCCAATGTAGGGCCGTGAAAATATATACTAGTTTCCTATTTGAGACATAAAAAGCTGTTTGGAACACTACCGCTCTACAGTACAGCATGTTACACTTTTAAAAAAAAAAAAAAAAAAAAAAAAAAAACTGACAGATATTTTAGGAGTCCACGAACATAAGATCAAAGGGCAAGCTATATACAGATTACACACTTATACAAAAAGAATACTAGATACCCTGTCATGAAAACTATAAGCTATGGAACAATAAGATAAAGTTGACAGATCCAAAAGAGAATGGTTTAGAAAGCAAATATGGCTTGTTTGATAGCATTAAAAACTGTGAACTTGTGCTTATTTCTCAGCAGTGTGATTCTGTGGACCACCACAAACAATTGCAACTACTCTCAGGCTTTCACCTATCTTTTTAATTTGTAGTACATATCATTGACCATCCTTCCTCAATTATATAAAATCAGTTTTCAATTGATTGATTCAGACTTCAGTATTAGAGCTATCATTTACATAATATATTATAATAAATCATCAGAATTTTGGCCAAAGTATAAGAGCCAGAGGCAACTAGAATGAGGAGCATTATTAATTAATCCAATTAACAAATCTAGTAGGTATCCAGAAATTTCAGAAGCAAGCCTTTGGTCCAACCAACTCAGTGACGACTAATTAGCTTCACAACCTTTTAAAAAATTATATATAATTACTTGTGTAGACCACACAATGAAGTTACTGATCTGACCTTCTGACATTAAGCAGTGGAGGTTCATCTGGATATTTTTCTGTGTGCGAGAAAATCAATGCTAGTTGAACTGCAAAAGAAGTTTCACCACAGCTAAATCATCAACATAATAATGGAAGTGAATCAACAAAAGACAGTAGACAGAATTGTCCATGATCAATGAATGGATCCAATTGAAGAAAAAAAATCTAAATATGTTCAGAAATAGAACAGATAAGATAGTAAACCTGGCATTGACACCGGTTCATCTCCTTCATCTTCCTGTAGCATAACAATATTAGTTGCAGTAGCTATAACAATTCTAAACTTGAAAATTGTCCAGTTAGGTAAAATGCACATGGCCACCCAAATTAGTAAAAACGCTTAGATACTCAGGGACAGACGGACAGTGTCCTTGTGGTGATGAATTTTTGGGATGAGCAATATTAGGTCTAAGTAAAACATTACACTAGCAGCACTAGTAACAAAATAAGGGAAAAGAGAGTGGGAGTTAGGAAAGGAAATTTGTCCATGTTGAACATCCTTGACTTTGCATGCCATCATTGACTTAGTTCAGAAAAATATGACGTCATACTTTTTGTACACTTATTTTGCAAACGGAAACATGAAGTAGCTTTTTTTTAGGATACCATCCAAGACAGTCGTTATTGAAACTTCTTGTTGTAGAGGATTGTGATTCCTTCCCATTAATTGTCCATAATGGCCATACATACTATTCGTATAAGCTATAATGGTAACAAGATTCACCTTATAATCAAGTGTTTTCTTCCGATCTAAGACCATGTAATTGAACTGTATGCTAGTGCTACAAAAGCCAAATTTCTAAGCTATATACAACTACAAATAAATAAATAAATAAATAAATAAATAAATAAGAATAAGTAACACATAAGCATAGCTAACTAACATCAATAATCAAAGTATTGTGCTCCTCCAATTACAAAAAAATAAAAATAAAAATAAAATAAAATAAAATAAAAATAAACCTACACATTCAATATTGAACAACATGAGTAATTGATTTGGTTCATGCAAAACACAAAAAGGTGTCTGGTTAAGTACTGAAACAAGTGTAACCCTTGTGATTAATTGACAATGAGGTTGAATCAAGATAATCAGTGATAATACAGAGGGGGATTAGGCGTAAATTAAGCCGTCATTTATATCCTAGGCAACACATGTGCTAGAGTGACTGGGACAAAAAATACAAACCCACAAAGGTGAACTGAATGAATAATTGCTTAAGCTTAAATTCATCCTTCTCCCTTAATAGCCCTATTCTAAGATTGATGCGTAAACTCGAATGTAGAAGATGGGATTGTTTGTCCACAAGGCGTCCATCTCAACCTATCTAATGAATCTACACTTCTGCAGGCAAGCATGACAATAAACTACCTAACACAAAGTCACCAATTCACCAGTAGATGCCATAATGGTAGTAGTAACGATTTATAGGTGCAATTGGAGGTGGAAGATCCATACACCAAACATATCAACGTAAGGAAAAAATTAGCATTCTCATTTACACTTCCATGATAAACTCCAAAGCTGTAAAATAGCTATAATGTGGACTCCTCTTAAAGCTTGCATCTCTTACCAGTAGAATCCAGACTGCCAAAATAACAGTTGACCCCACCCTATCATTGAGAAGTCAGCATGGGAAGGAAATTTCAGCTTCTCTTCCAAGGAGGTAGACTGATATTCTTGGAGAGCATTCTATCAAAGCTTCATATCTACTTTGTGTCTATATTAATCATCTGCATTAGTGTTGCAAACAAGCTAGAAAAGATTGAGGGAGGTTTTTTTTTTTTTTTTTTTTTTTTTTTTGAGTGTGTGTGTGTGGGGGGGGGTGGGGGTTAATGAGAGTGACAAGGGGTGGATGAAATGGATGAGGCTTATCACCTGGAAAAGCTATGAGATGTTATAACTCGTTGCCTAACCTAAAAAACCACACAAAAGGAAATGGCTTTAGAGACATACTAAAAAACAATGCTCTTTGGACAAAAGATATCCTTAACCCAAAGAACAAGATGCTCTTTCTAGCATGTGTAGTCAAGATGATCTTTCAATGATGTGACGCCACTGATTCTTACTAGTGCAACACATTAATGTCTGGCATTGAAGTTACTAAGGGTTTCATTCTTAGGGGTGGAATGATTACTAAATTTTAAGGGACAAGATAATTGACAAGCCAGGGTATTAACTATGAAAAGCAAGTATTGGACTCTTGGAAACAATATCATAGGCACAAAGTTCAACTGTATTCGCTAACCAACGACCAAACACTCACCAACAATACCAAAAATGGATCACCTTTCTTCAACGAGTAAAGCCACAAAATTCCATACTATTTCCTTGCAAGTTGATGATCCAGTATATGTTTTATTCAACAAGTCACTCATGATTTTTAATATCAAGACGAAATGTTTACAGTGGTTCTTAGACTGCCAAAACAAATATCAAGGAAGATCCGTGTAAATTTGGCCCTTCCTAAGTCTGATAAATATCTTGTGTCCATACCCGCTCATTTATTGTCGACATCCCAAGTACATTGCATACCTCATGTACTGTTATTTCATCAAAAAATTTGGGTACTTAAACTGGTTGTAGCATTTGAAATTCCCATTCTCAAGGGCCAAGGCTCAGAGATGCATAACCTAATAACCCCCATTTGAATTCCTACAAAGGTATCCACCACTAAAAAGCATCCACCATTAAGAGGCATCCAAACTTCCCAAAAGGCCAAAAAAATTCTCAGTTACTTGTGCCACCCTAGAGCAAAATTAACCAAAATAAATAAATAGAACGTTCATCTAGCATAGAATTTTAAAATTAGAAAAATAGGCAGACAATAGATCGAACATAATTACATAAGCACGTTATTTGTTTGTCTTCACTTAGCACATTTCAAGAAACCTAACAAAGAGGGAAATTTTATACAGAACAACAATTCTACACTAGACAGTACACCATACAAATCAAAGCCAACAAAAGCTTCAGCTCATATCATGATAAAACTAAATATTAAAGTATATTAAATTAACAACATATTCAAATACCTGTGGAGATATCGTGATACAATAACATTTATTGGAAGTGTTAAGTCCACTTTCCCCAGAATGAATTTCTGCATCAAACATAATAAACAATCAAAATTATGATAGATTAAAACATAGAATCCAATAGCCCCGGCACAATCAAAGCCGAACGAAGGGTAGAAAGTGGCATTAAAAGCACAGACCTTTAAACTCATCCATAAGGATGGCTTCTAGTGCTTCAATTTCCATCTCCTGCTCCTGTAAATAGTCTACAACCCAAAATAATAGAATTTAAGTCTGAGTGATGCCAATAGACTGAGACCAAAATTATTCTAAATATCCAAACACAGCATATAGTCTCTCAAAATTTAATCTTTTGTATTCGGGGGCGAAAATCGCCAATTCCATTACTATCTCAGAACACCATTTGAGTTTGAATTTCAAGGAAGCATAATTACCAACATTTATATGCAAGTAATTTTAATCATCTTGCCAATTAAAATTAATTTTAGCAGCAGCTTAAGCAATAGTTGTCTATATAACTGCATCAAATATATGTAGAATCAACTAATTATGCCCTCTAATTCAGAATCAAAGTTGCTACAAAAATAAACGAATCTTCAATCATATATTGTTATCATGAAATCAAAATTAGGGTATTAATTTAATTGAAGAGAGGAAAATCCAGAAAAAGTTACCAGTCATGGCTGCTCACTGAATTGTTCTCGCACACGCTCTTTTCTTCGGGAGTTGCAAACCCAGAACTTGAAGTGAAACCTAAAGAAAGAGCTTAGGAGAGAGGGAAGTGCGCAGACATGAGAGATTTTGATGATATTTTTTGGGGGATTAAAGCGTATTCGTATACTTGGGTTCGCTTCTAATGGCATCGTTTTAACTTTTGCATCTTATATACGAGTACATACATACCTATATCGGCTATATGACCCAATTGAATTTATCTTGGGATTAGTTTTAAAGTCGGGTACTCGGGTGTGTTATTAAGTGTCATATGTTTTTGGCCGATTAAGGAACAATTCGAAAGGTGTCAATTTGAGTCACTATGTCGAGTTAATTGAGTAAGGTTCAATTTGGGTTTGAGTCATGCTAAATCATTGTGCTTGTGTAGGTCGATTTTTAGATCCGATTACTCTCGAATTAGATTAAGTTAAGTTGTGTTGGGTCAATTTTTAACATCTCTAGGAACAGGTTTATTAAATTTTACTCGTGTATCAAATATCGATATACTTTCTAATTAAGTACTTGCTTGGATGGAAAAAGAAAAAAAAAAAGAGTGGAAAGTCATGAAATGGATTTTGATGCATCATTTGGTAGTTCACAAATTGTATAGTATCAAACGTGTGTTATTGTCGTTCAACTTTGTAGAGGATAAATCTTTCTTGACACCTCCTTGCTCTCCCACTTTACTTCCCTTTTATGTCGCTTCTCTTTATTTTTGCTTATTCCACCCTCGTTAATACCTCTAAGTTTCAAGTACCTTGTCCTTGCATGTGTTTCTTTGGTTAGTTGATCTTTCTTTATTTCTTCAATATGAAATCAAAGTTGTGTCAATGCATGAAGTAATGAAAGGCCAATGAAACAAGGATATTTTTGCTTAAGTTTTAAGTGAAGAGCTTGGCGTTGTGCACGGGCTCTCAGTCCTTGCACAAATTTGGACTTAACTTTTATTTACATTTACAATACTTTAATTGACATATACTATATTAGTATTTACAAAAATAATACTCTATCTAACATAGACTATATCATTTTGATAACTTTTTTTTTTTTGATAACTTTTTATACTAACAAAAATTAGAAAATATATATTTTATACTTTTGATATTTCTAGCACATATTTGACTTAACTTTATTCTACAAAAAACACTTAAATCAGTACAGACTATACTTTTTATTTATTTTTTAACAAAGACAATACTTTATCTAACATAGACTATATATGTTGTGCAAGGGTTAAGAATTACTCCCACAAGAATTACTTCGTCAATGTTGCTTGAAGTGCTTCATCGTTGCAATACTTGGTGCTCCCGTACGGAGATGCTTGATTCTTCTCAGTGTATGTCTTTGGTGGTCTCCATCAATTATTAGCTCTTTGCTTTCTTGAGAAGTTTTATTTCACTTGACATCCTTTAAAAGCTTTGTTTCTATTTGATATATTACATTTGTTGTATAACTAATATTACTTGTATTTTTTAAGTTTTTCTATAATCTATCCTATATGTTAAGTTATTTTTTTTTTATTTTTTTTTTTAAAGAAGCTTTTAGTTATTTATCTAAGATAGGGTAAAACATGTACCTTTCCTCTAGGAGCGTGAAATAAATTATTAAAGCAACATGACTCCCCTTTTGGCTAGTGAAAATTCATTGAAATTCTAAATTTCCTTATCATCAATTAACCATATAAGCTAAGGAAATTTCTAATAAGCCAATTCCTAAGAAACTCGATGTTTTCCTAAAAGGCCCAAATTACCCTTATTTTTATATTTAACTAGCACAAATGCTTATAAGTGGTTGGCCATTATAGGTGTTACTTTGCTAGTATTATAGGGGTTACTCGGTTATTTTTACAGGGGTTACTTTATCAGTGTTATAGGGGTTACACGGTTATCAAAAAAGGCTGGCCGTTTTACGAGCGCCCCACAAACGGCCACCAAAACGCCGCTAACGGTCGAAATAGACCGGTTTTGGGTCGAAATCGACCACTCAAGCCTTAAGTCGATCAATTTCGACCATTAGCGGTCGTTTTTGGTGGCGATTTTTAGGGATTTCTTTAAACTCCGGCTGATTTTGAGGGAGTTCGTGGGAGAGGTTGTCGGTTTTAGGGAAGAGGAAAGAAAGGAAGAGGATTTTTTGGTGGCTAAGTCTGATAACGGGAGGGTCAGGGTGGGGCTGTGGTGGCGGCGTGCTGCCGACGGTGAGGCTGGGGTGGCTGGGTTAGTTTTAGGGTTTTTTTTTTTAATTTTTTTCTTTAACTAATAATATGTCGACACGTGGCACAATGGACTCCACTTAACGGATTTTTGGACGGCAACTGTTAAGTGGTGGTAAATCAAATTTTTTAAACTTTCGATGGTGTTAAAATAAAACTTTTTTTTTTGTAGTGTTAAAAACCATTTTTGTGTTTTTTTAAGGTGTTAAAAATCAAATTTCCTATTTTTAATATATCAAATTTCATAATTTGGGATAATTATTGTGATATCTATCAAAATAAAGTAATTAGGTTTTGAAAATAATATACTCAACATGTACAAGTTGGATTAATGTCAACCAACCACTACATATGCAAGTTGGATTAATGTCAACCAACCACTATATATATGTTACCACAAACTTATTTTTAATTTGTTGTGGCTAATATTAATTATCTATCTCACCACATGATTAAAAATATAATGTTTTTTTAAAAATATCATATTTTCTTTGACACTATTCCTCTGGTGTTGTGTTGAGCCTAACTTGTCAATTTATGTAGATTGCTCACCCTCTTACATATTTTTATTTTCTTTGCTACTCTTTATTACCACTTCTTTGAACCAAAGTCAAACAATAATAACTCCAAATAAGCACCCTTTATTACCCCATTCTCTTTGCTACATATGTTAGTTTAAGACGTGCGCTACCAAAGCAACCACCCACCAAATATTCGACCACCAGTATTATTTTCCATTGTTGGTGATCATCTTTTAATCACATGTCATATATCCTTCGACAGCGTCTTTCTCCCCTTCCTTTCTCTCTCCTTTTTTCTTTTTTATGACTCCTCTACAAGCACTAGAGGTGAGCAAATTTAGGTGCCCTATCAAAATAATTTAAGTAACCAAAGTCAAATTTGGTTAAGCTCTTTTCAAAAAGTCGAAATTGGAAGTCGTCAAACTGATTCCTAAACTTATGAACTCGAAATTGTTGAATATGATTTTGGATACCCAATTACATATGTGGAGTAATTGTTAAACAAAAGACAAAATTACACTTGTAATTACTATAATTGACCTTTTCTAAATTTATAAAGTATTTTTTTCTATTAAAATAAGGCACTATTTGAATCGGTGTAAACCTTTTCCTAGAATACAATTTTGAACTTTTTCGGTATTTGATTTCCGGTCGTTTAGGAAAATATGAAAATCATGGATTGAAATTCATTTTACAAGCGGTAGAGAACTACTTTTGAAATTTTGGAGGGAAGGTACATTTTCCGTTCTTCTCCCACCTTGTTTGATTTTCTCTCCTCGCACCTTTTTCCAGATGTTGTGTGTACATATTTCCAGGTCCGTTTCTGAGATTTCGGTGGTCTGGGGCGAAGCCATAAATTGGGTCCCTAATTCACATAGAGTATCATAAAATAAAATAAAATTTGGGTATGCAAAAAAAAGAAAAATTATTACGCATAGTTATCTTTAAAAATATCAAATTTCATAAATATAAAACATTGAAATCAAAGCGTTCATATAAAAATATTTCTATGAGCATTTCTAGATGCAAAGTCGCTAATAATAGTTTCTACATTAATATCTAACATATATTTCTTGAATGACAGTGGACAGTAGCATTTTGATGAAATCATGAAAGTAGCAAACAAGCAATTCCCGTAACTCTCGTCGAAGCAATTAGAATATTAGATCAAACAACCATTAAAGCCAAGTAACCAATCAATCAATTAGATTTTTTAATCCCCAAAGTTATAATTCTTGATTATCTTAAATGAAAGTAATCGTACACATTAAGAAAAAATTAATAGAAAGAAGAGATTTTGATGAATAAAGTAGGATATACAAAGAGGATATGTATATAATTAGATGAATTTCCGTTGAAATTGAAGGGTAAAATTACCATTTATCATAATCTTGAAAGAGAAGGAATTAATTTGACTGAAAATTGAAAAGATATACATTTTGGAAAATAAAATTACCAAAAGAAGGCAATAGGTTAATTACAGTTTTTTTTTTTTGGTTAATCAAATTCATAGAAAAGTGAATATTTTGGGAGAAAAATTAGGGAGGAAGGAGGTTGAATAGTGAGAATAATGGCACTTGATATTCTGAAATGCAATTGTACTACTGACATGTTTTGCTGTACACGTTTTTTTTCCCCTTTATTTTTTGAATTTTTTTTATATAAATATTTATTTTGGGGCCTTAAAATGTACTGAAGTTGGGCTTTTGATCCGAGGGCCCTGCATATTTCTTCTTTGTCTAACCTTTTTATTAGTACACTTAAATGATCTTTCCCTACCATTTCCTACATTATTTAAAATTATTTTATTTCATTACTAATGGAATTAATTTGTTAGGAATCTAAGAAAGACAATATGTATCAATCAAACCAAATAAAGGAAAATGTTTTCAAGGTAAAAAACTTTTTTGTGGAAAAATATATTTCTGTTAAGGATAAAAACAAAAATGAAGTTTACATGCATGTATGTAGCATTTAGGGCAATTATATGCACAAAGTGCAATAGTGTTCAATATTATATTGTAATATTGTTCCTATATATAGGGACTCCATTCACATAGTAAAAGCACGCAATGAAATAATTTTCATCCATTCTACTTCACTTACTTCTTATAAAATTTTCTCTCGGTAAAGTTTCTTTTAATACGTTATCAGCACCACTTCATAGTCAGATATATTTATACCTACTTCTCAAAATTATAACAAATAAATACTATCTACTTCTAAATGTTTTGAGGAGTATGCTCTATAGTTGCCCATATTTTGGGATCCTCTATACCAGAAACTCAAACATTTACTGTATTAAAACAACGGTGGAGGAATTCTCTTATTTATGAATTCATTACTATTCTCCCTTGTTTTATTCATGTTGATGTTTATTGTTTGATTCATGCATGTTGATATTACATGCTCATTTTTTACGTAAAATTTGATTTTAGTGATAACTTTGCATGCATATTAATTATTAACTAAATTGACAAAAAGATGCAGCCTTTTTATACTTATTATTTTCATTCTTTTACGTACTTTTTGTGTTTCTTTCCGTTTTTGAACCCATGATCTTTTATAGATATTAGGGCTCTCGAACCACTATGGCTTGCATTCCCAGTGTGCTAACCTTTTACAATTATAAATATTTACATTTGGACCATAACTTTTGCCAGTACATTAGACTATTATATGCTATTTTTACAGTTGTACATTAGACTATTAACGGATAAAACTACCTCTATAAAAGGCAGATTTCCCCCCGATTTCACCACAAATCCCTTATCCTTTCCCATTTTTTTATCCAAAAATCACCCCAAATATAAAAATAAAAAAAATTCACCCCTTCTTCTCCGATATGTTCCCCGACAACGGCAACCAAAATACCCAAGACACCGACACCTTCACTTTTGAGGAAAATTTAAGGAAGATAAAACAATATTTTCTTCTAATTATGGCGCTTGTAGTTTTGTTAGTAGCAATATTATTTTTTGTCATGATGTACAAGCGAAGTTTGTTTATTTTGTCGTTTTAGTAGATTAAAAGCATGTTTTTGTTTTATTATGTTGTTTTGTTGTTATTAATCATCATTGTATATATTACCGTTATTATTATAATTATTGTTACTACTGTTGTTGTTGTCGTTTTGCTGTTTATGCGTCTAATATGATTTATTTTTGCCTAATAATATAATTACTCACAATAATAAACCAAGGGAGAGAAAAGAACTACATTATTTATGGTTTATTATTAAATAAATTTAATTATCACGTGTTTCATTAACAAACTATAAATATGGAAGAATTAAACATATGTGTTGTACATATGATTTATTATTATAAACTAATTATCACGTTATTTGTTGTAGTTAAAATGGGAGATCTTATAAAAAAGACAATTCAGCATCCTAGATTTATTTGGAAAGAAATTTTTGGAATGGAAAGTGGATGCCATGATGAATTTAAAAGCTCAAGGGTTGGAGCACACTGTTAAAGATAAAAAGTCCTTCTGGTCAAACAACTGACGCTACCACTTCTGCAATGACGGTTGTAAAACCTATAACTAAATAAGAAAAGGCAAAATCCTAAGTGTTACTAAGGCATCATTTACATGAAGGCCTTAAAACTGAGTACATGATGGTTGAAGATCCCAAAGAATTATGGGATTGCCTTAATGAAAGATTTGGACACCACAAAATGGTGCTCCTTCCTAAGGCATTATTTGACTGGACAAATTTATGGTTCCAGGATTTCAAATCTGTAATTGATTACAATTCAACCATACATGAGATAGTTTCTATATTGAGATACTGTGATCATCCAGTCACCGATGAACAAATGATTGAAAAAACACTCACTACGTTTCATGCAAGCAACATACTGTAGCAGGAACAATATCGTGAAAGAAGTTTCAAAAGGTTTAATGAATTAATGAGTGTATTGCTTGTTGCAGAACAAAATAGTGATCTTTTGTTGAAAATTCATAATATTAGACCAACTGGGTCTTTGGCCACTCATCATGAGGCAAATGCAACAAGTTCTTATCCACCCGAGGCAAATGCTACACGAAGAGGTGGACGTGGATATTTCAACGGTCGTGGAAGAGGCCGTGGAAATTATCGCGGACGAGGCTGAGGATGTGGTAGACATAATTTTCAAAGAAACAGTAATTTTAAATATTCTGAAAAACAGAAGGGACAGTCATCTGGAAGCCACAAACAAACTCCTTCAAAAGGAAAAGACACATGTTATAGATGTGGCATGACAGGGCATTGGGGACGTACTTGTCGTACGGCCAAACATTTGGTAGACCTTTACTAGACTTCTATAAAAGGCAAAGAGAAAAATGCAGAAGCAAATTATGTTAATGAAGAAAATGCTCCATGTCCTACCCTTGATGTGTCCGATTTTTTCATGGACAATGCTGAAATTGGAAATAATTCCATCTTTGGAGAAAATAACAATACTTAAATAACCTGTCTACTAATGTAATATATACTATATTTTAATGTATTTTCTGTTATGTACTGTATTTTAAATGTCTAGTCATGAATTTTTAATTTCTATCCTCAATAAAAGTTTGTATGATATTATTCTAAATTAATCTCATATTTATTTTATGAAGATATGGATATGCCTGAAGTTGGTTCCGAATATCAGTGTCTTTTGGACAGTGGAACAACACACACTATCTTGAAGGATAGAAATAAAATATTTTTCACAACTACAGTTGTTTCAGGAAAATGTAAACACTATTTTCGGGTCAGCAAAATTAATTACAGGATCTGGAAAGGCTTGTATAATGCTTCCAAATGGAACAAAATTGATAATCAATAATGCTTGATACTCGAGTAAATCTCGAAGAAATCTCATAAGCTTTAAAGATGTACGCCAAAATAGCTATCATTTAGAAACAATGACAACAGGTCAAAAGGAGTATTTATGCCTCACGGTAGGAAAATATGGCAAGAAACACATTTATGAGAAATTGCCAGCATATTCTTCGGGGTTATATCGTATAAACATACGACCCGTGTAAATCAATATGATATCTAACCAGAAGTTAGATGACAAACATTTGATTATTTTATGGCATGATCTTTAGGACATCCAGCAACTGGGATGATGCAAAGAATAATAGCAAATTCAGTTGGACATTCAATAAGAAATGTCAAAATTCCTCGATCGGATGAATTAACATTCTCTGCATGCTCACTTGGCAAATTAATAATAAGACCATCTATGAACAAAATTGCTACTGAATCTCCAAAATTCTTGGAAAGAATTCAGGGAGATATTTGTGGGCCAATTAATTCGGCATATGGACCATTTCGATATTTCATGGTTTTAATTGATGCTTCTACACGATGGTCACATGTCAGTCTACTTTCAAGTAGAAATGTTAACTTTGCAAAATTACTTGCCTAAATTATCAAATAAAGAGCACATTTCCCAGATCATACAATAAAGAAAATAAGACTCGACAATGCTGGGGATTTTACATCCCAAACATTTAATGATTATTGTATGTCAATTGGAATTGACGTTGAACACCCAGTAGCTCATGTTCATACACAAAATGGTCTAGCTGAATTACTAATTAAGAGATTACAATTAATTGCAAGACCATTATTAATGAGGTCAAAATTGCCATCATCTGCTTGGGGCATGCTATAATACATGCAGCAACACTAATTAGATTGAGAACTACAGCTTATCATAAATTCTCACCACTACAACTTGTTTGTGGTCGAGAACCAAGTATCTTACATCTAAAAATCTTTAGTTGTGCTATATATGTTTTCATTGCTCCACCCCAATGAACAAAAATGGGTCCACAAAGAAAGCTGGGAATTTTTGTCGGGTTTGAATCCCCCTTTATAATTTAATATCTTGAATTATTGACTGGTGACTTATTTACGGCTAGATTTGCTGACTGTCACTTTAATGAAGCAGTATTCCCAGCCTTAGGGGGAGAGAATGTGGACCCACGCAAGAAAGAAATAGAACTTATTTGGAATGCAATACAACTGTTGATGTTAGACCCACGAACAAATATGTGTGAACAAGAAGTCAAGAAAATTGTGTGTTTACATAGTGTTGCAAATCAATTGCCTAATGCATTTGTAGACACAAAGAAGGTGACAAAATCACATATACCAGCAGAAAATGCCCATACACGTATTGAAATCCCAACTGATAAAAGGCCATTGAGAATGAATCTCAAGCACGCGGAAAGCGTGGGAGACCACTTGGTTCAAAAGATTCTAAACCAAGGAAATTGAAAAGATTGGATGGAATAGAAAATGAGACTAATGATTTTCCCCCGTCAGAAGGTCAAGAAAGACCAAATGTGGAAGAAAGAAAAGAAAACGATGATAATCCAAAAGGGGACGAACAAGAAAACAACCCTACGGGGAATGAACAAGATGTTCAAAACATCGATAACAATGAAATTTCAATGAATTATGTCTCTACCAAGACTCAGTGGAATAGGAAAGATGTTATTGCGGATGAAATATTTGCAAATTCCATCGCAATCGACATTGTGTCTGATGAAAATGATGTTGAACCAAGAATAGTGGAAGAATGTCGACACAGGAGTGATTGACCAAGTGGAAGGAGGCAATGCTGGCTGAGTTGGAGTCACTTGAAAAACGAGAAGTTTTCGGAAAAATAACTCTTACACCAGCAGGTGTAAAACCTGTTGGATACAAATGGGTATTTGTGAGAAAACGTAATGAGAAAAATGAGATAGTTAGATACAAGGCAAGACTTGTAGCCCAAGGATTTTCTCAAATCCCAGGGATTGATTACGAAGAAACATATTCCCCAGTAGTTAATGCAACTACATTAAGATTTCTGGTAAGTTTGACAGTCACAAAAGGACTGCAAATGCGATTAATGGATGTAGTGACTGCGTATTTGTATGGGTCACTCGATACAGACATTTACATGAAAGTCCCCGAAGGACTAAAACTACCAGAAAACCAAAAGCCTAGACAATTACTTTCCATAAAACTAAAAAGGCCACTTTATAGATTGAAACAATCTAGAAGGATGTGGTATAACCGTCTTAGTGAATACCTTGTGAAAGAAGGGTTCAAGAACAACCAAATCAGTCCCTGTGTTTTCATAAAGCGATCACATTCAGGATTCGCTATTATTGCAGTTTATGTTGATGATTTGAATATCATAGGAACCCCAAATGAACTTGAGAAAACAGCAAAATACTTGATGAAAGACCTTGGAAAAAACTAAATTTTGCCTTGGATTGCAAATCGAGCACTTGAGTCATGGTATTTTTGTCCATCAATCAAACTATACAGAAAGAGTTTTGAAAAGATTCTTCATGGACAAAGCAATTCCAATCAACTTCCCAAAGGTTGTTCGTTCCTTGAGTATGAAAAACGATCCATTCAGACCACGAGAAGAAAATGAAAAAATTCTGGGTCCAGAAGTACCATACTTAAGTGCAATTGGAGCCTTAATGTACTTAGCTAACAATACTAGACCCGACATAGCTTTCTCTGTGAACTTGTTAGCCAGGCATAGCAATGCACCAACATATAGGCATTGGAAGGGAGTCCGACACTTACTCCGATACCTACGAAGAACACAAGACCTTGGTTTATATTATCAACCAAAACAAGATGCTGCCCTCATTGGGTATGCCGACGCTGGATATTTATCAGATCCTCAAAATGCCAAGTCACAAAATGGATATCTGTTCACTTATGGCGGCACTGCAATATCATGGAAATCAACAAAGCAGACATTGACTGCGACATCCTCAAATCATGCAGAGTTGATAGCCCTTTATGAAGCAGGACGAGAATGTGTATGGCTGAGGTCGATGATTAGTAAAATCCAAGAAGAGTGTGGAATGAAAGCAATAACAGAAAATCCAACCACCATCTTTGAAGACAATATAGCATGCATCTCTCAAGTAACTGAAGGATTCATTAAGGGAGATAGAACAAAACATATATCCCTAAAACTATTCTTCATGCATGATCTGCAAAAGGAAAAGGAAATAGATATCTAGCAAATTCAGTCTTGTGACAACCTTGCCGACCTATTCACCAAATCACTTCCTTCCAAGAAATTTGAGCAATTAGTTCACAAAATTGGAAAGCGACATCGTCGTGAACTATGTTGAAATCAGGGGGAGTATTATATGCACTGCACTCTTTTTCCCTTCGATCAAGTTTTTATCCCACTGGGTTTTTCCTGACAAGGTTTTTAACGAGGCAGTATATCAAAGCATATAATACTTTTTAGCTATAGTTTTATCCCATAAGGTTTTACCTAGTAAATTTCACGAGACAACCCATACTCCATTTCATGTGAACGTTCAAGGGGTAGTGTTGAGGATAAAAACGAAAATGAAGTTCACATGCATGTATGTAGCATTTAGGGCAATTATATGCACAAAGTGCAATAGTGTTCAATATTATATTGTAATATTGTTCCTATATACAGGGACTCCATTCACATAATACAAGCACACAATGAAATAATTTTCATCCATTCTACTTCACTTACTTCTTATAAAATTTTCTCTGGGTAAAGTTTCTTTTAACAATTTCATTGAATTCTCTTTTTCGCTGAAAATTGTTTTATATCCAGAACAATTGCCGAAGTGAAATTAAGATTAACATAACCATAATCTTTTATACCCCTCCGTGTTTTAATAAGTGTTACACTTTGACCAGCACATAGTTTTAGGCAATTAAATTGACTTTAAATAAAATAAGAGGTAAGTGGGGTAGTTGGAGTATTAAAAAATTATAAAAGAAAGATAGTGGGGTTAATAGTTTATTGAAAAGTAATGAATGTGGGAGGAAAGAAATAATAAAAAAAAAGTAGCAGTGGGTTTAGGTGGAGACCATGAGAAGAGAGAGATATAATATTAAAATGTAGTTTTTTGTCAAAAAAAAAGTGTAACAGTTGTTAAAACACGACCAAATTTAATAAGTGTAACACTTGTTAAAACACGGAGGGAGTATACACCTTTTATATACCATTCGAGTGGCGGGTGCACATTAAAGTAAGTACACCCAGGATTTGCATACGAATGTATCTAAATGGTTTAATAAATAAACAGGACCAAAAGTGCGCAAATTTTTGCCTAGACTCTAGGGTAGCCAGCTTCTCCTACACCCCCATGCTACTACGTCGTTTTATATTGAACCATTCTGCCATTTTTTTTCTTCATCTTTTTTCATTTTTGTTAACTTTCTATTCAAGCAACTATATAATGATTTTCTTAACCTAATTTCCTTTATATTAATCTCATATTTTACTTATTTCATTTTCTCTCTCCTGCATTTTTTATTTTTCCCCCAATTTTTCTCTCTCTTCTTCCATGGAAATTTCTAGCTCAATTGCGTTTGATCGTGACAGTGATTCTAGCTTAATTGCTTTTGATCGTGATTGTGATTCTATTTTTTCTGCTGGAGTTGGTTTAGTCGACTCGTTTTCGAAACAATGTGAGTAATTTTTTCCTCAATCATTCGATTTTGATTATGCTCTGTTTTTCGCGTGTAATAGTTCGATTTTGATTTTTGATTTCATAGTTTTGCTAATTGTATGAACTATAGTTTATATAATGCTCAATTATAATTTTTGATTTTATTGTTTAGCTAATTGTTATTGCTTATTGTATGAATTAAAATCAAAATTATGGTCGATTATAATATTTGATTTCATTTTTATTTAAGATTATATTAATTTATAGTTTGTGATGTATTGTTGTGATTTTATTGTTTTTCTTTGTAATGTTGTTATTCGATTGATGTTTTTTCCAGTTTTCTGCATTTTAATGATTGTCTATAGTTTTATAAAATTTGACATTCAATTAATGATCATGTATGTTATATTATATGTACATTTACGTTAACATAGGTGTAATTACTGTAATTTACATTTATCTATGTAATCATAAATGTTCATTTATATGTTTTATTATAATTTTGATATATGTTCATTTATGTAATGATAAATGATCATTAACAGTTTACATGTGGTTATTGTACATTATTGCTATTATTTGTGTTCATTTGTTACATTTTAATATTGCAGTGGAAAAAAAGAATGCTATTTTATTTGAGGAAGCAGCTAGTTCTGAATTTTATGGGAAACAATTTCCTTCTGAAGATGTGGCTTATGAAATGTTTAATGAATATGCATTTAGAAAGGGCTTTGGAATTAGAATTGGAAAAAGTAAGAGGCGAAGAAATGATTCATTCTCTATGAAAAGATTTGTTTGTACAAATGAGGGTTTTAAAGATGATAAGTGCAGGAATAATAGGCTGTATGAGAGACTTAACATAAGGACTGGTTGCTTAGCTTTTGTGCAGTTTAGTATTGACCGTTCAGGTGTATATACATGTACAAGACATGAGATGGTTCATAATCATGAAATGATTCCTGTTGACAAGAGACATTTAATAAGGTCTCAAAGGGATATTTCTAAGGAACATATTAATTTCATTTCTACACTTAGATTGAGTGGAGTTAAAGTTTCTGATTCTTTGAGAGCTTTGAAGAAGGAGGTTGGAGGGTCTCCTAACCTTTGTTTTACAGCTCCTGATGCTTATAATGCTATTTCTGTTGAAAAGACAGCTAAACTTGGGGGAGGTGACAGCAATCAACTAATCAAATTTTTTTGCTAAGAGACAAATTGATGAAGCAGATTTCTATTATGATTTTGAACAAGATGAAAATGGTGCATTGGTTAATTTCTTTTGGAGAGATGGAAGGATGATGAGAGATTATCATTACTTTGGTGATTTGTTAGTTTTTTATACTACTTATAGGACTAACAAATATGGTATGATTTGTGCTCCATTTGTGGGTATGAATCATAATGCAAATAATGTGATGTTTGGCATGGGATTTATACTTAATGAAAGAACAGAATCATTTGAGTGGTTATTTGATACTTTTCTAACTTCTATGGGAAGGAGAAGTCCTATTACTATTATGACTGATCAAGCTCAAGCAATTGCAGCTGGGATAAGAAATATTTTCCCCAAAGGTGTTCATCATAGATTATGTGTGTGGCATATTGAACAAAATTCTAAGAAACACATTGGGGCGTTGAGAGCTTTGGATGGTTTCACTGATTTATTTGGTTATTTACTGAAGTATTGTGAAACTCCACCAGAATTTGAGCATTATTGGAAAAGGTACTTCTGCTTTATACTTGTTTAGCTTCTTAAATAATTTTTACAGAAATGAACATTTAGTTTTTTATAAATGTTTGTTTATAATGATCATAACTGTAATGCTTAATGATCATGTTTCATTTACAGAATGTTGTTGAAATATGACTGTGCAAATGTTGATTGGTTGAATGATTTGTATAAAATCAAAGAGATGTGGTGTCCAGCTTTTTCAAAGAAATTTTGGTCAGGAGGTGTGCTTTCATCTCAACGTAGTGAGACAACTAACAAATCAGTTTCTCAAAGGCTTAACAAGACACAAGGTCTATGTGATTTCTATCAAGTGTTTCTCGATGTGGTTCAAGAGTGGAGAAGCAAAGAAAAAGGGAGAGATTATAATACAATCAGAGGTAATCGTCATTTGGCTTTTGCATACATTGGGATTCTTGTTCATGCTAGATCATTGTATACTATTCAAGCTTATGTGCTTTTTGAGGAAGAGTTCATTAAGGGTACTGCTTGTGATCATAAGGATGCTGGTGTGAATTTTCCTGAATATTATTATCATTTGTGGAGACCTGGGAAAAGCACGAGGTTGTTTTTAATAAAGAAACACATGCAATATGTTGTACATGCATGTTGTTTAGTGAAATGGGTTTGCTTTGTTGTCATGCTCTTCGAATTTATCATATGAATTGTGTTCATAAGATTCCAGATGACTATATATGTAACAGGTGGACTAAGGCTGCTATGTGTATTCATGGCCTTGATGAACCTACAATGAAAACCAATGTAGTATCTACAAGTGTTTGGAGGACACAAACACTAAGGAAATTTGTTAAGTTGGTAACAAGTTGTCAACACTCTTTGAATGCTAGAGCAGAGGTTGAATGTTATTTCAATATTTTAAAAGAAAAGATTGAGAGTGTTACTGGTACTATTGATTTTAATGAACCGGTTGAAGGTATTGAAATTGTTGATCATGAAGTTAAGAATCCGGCAAAATCAAGACCTATTAGAGAGAGGAATTATAGGCCTAAGAGTAATTTAAAGAAGGCTTATAACAAAGCCAGGGGTCAGTGGTTGAAGAAAAAGTCAGTATACACTCCTTATAAAAGATCTAAAGGTCAAGCAGTAGTTCAGGTAATAATGCACATTTATGTTTTTGTTATTGATCATTTATGTTCAAGAATTGAACATTTTTGTTTTGCCTTAGGAATTGGACGAGAAGGGGTGTCCTATATCTTATGCTAATTCTTTGGCTGATCCTAATGAGTTAATTGTGATTGAAGATCCAAGTGCTCAGGTAAAAACTTATTTTCTTTTTTTTTATCTGTTTTTATTAAATTCTTTAGAATATTAAACATTTTTACTTTTAATTTTTTTTCAAGGTTTGTAATAAAAAGACTGCCATTGTAGAAGATATCCCTTCAGATGATAGTGTTTCAAATGACTTTGAACAGGTATTATGTAAATGATTATGTATGTAATTGTAGTTGTTCATTTTAGTAGTTTAAGTTGTGATTATAATGTTTTTATAATTTTCATTTTATTATAGGAATATGGATATAGCTCTATGCAATCAAACGTTACTGTTGATCCAGACATATCTTCTATTGTTAAGGTGAAATATTAATCATCTACCTTTTAATTTTGTATAAGGTCATTATGAATTTTGAATTTGATCATTAATTATTTTAATTTTGATCATTAGGGTAAAACAGCTGCAATTGCTCATGATGTTGATAATTTTCCAACAAGTTCTCAATTGCCACCAAAGAAACCAAGAAATGTACAATTTCCCACAGTTGTGCATGCTCAAATCAATGCTCAAGCTCCTTCTAAAGTTTCTAGCATTGTTCAAAATCCTCCAAAAGCTCCAAGAAATGTTCAAGTTCGTTCTAGTGTTCCGAAGAAAGTTCAAGCTCCTTCTAATGTTCCAAGAAGTACTCAAGGCTGTTTTCGGAATGTTCAAGTTGATTCTAGTATTTCAAGAAATGTGCATGATGTTCCTAATGTTCCAAGAAGTACTCAAGGAAATTCAAGGAATGTGCAAGTTTCTCCTAGTGTTTCAAGGAATGTTCTACTTTCTCCTAGTGTTTCAATGAATGTTCAAGGATCTCCTACTGTTTCAAGAAGTACTCAAGGAGGTTCTCCACAGATTTCAACCAAATATGATAGGTTATTAGCGTTTTTTGATACTAGTGTGGCTAAGAGATTGGCTACAAATGGTAAATAAGAGAGTAAATCAATATGCAATTATGTTTTGGTGTTTAACTATCAACATTTTTAGTTGTCTCAACTTTATAGAGATTCAAGTGCTTTAAGTTTTTTTTATTTTGATTTATTAAGTAATTTGAATCTTTTTTTTTCAAACTATTCTTAAATGTTCTATAAATGATTATTTTTGCTTTTAGAAGTGATCATATACTATTTTAAATAGTAAGATCCATTATTAAATTGGAATAATTATATTAGATGATTTAAAACTGACAATTATAATGTAACACTTTACTATTTGTAAATATTAAAAAGATAATAAATTTTGTCTTTACTTGAACAACAACAAAAACTTATGTCCATATAAATACTGAAAGCAAGTATGATCATATATATGTCTATATACGAACATATTGTATTAAGCTTGTGCAAATCTTCTTGCTGCTCTTCTATTGTTCTGTGACTGCCTGTTTCCTTCATTCAGCATTAGTTCAGCAGTGTATTGTACTTTGAGCTTTCTGATTTGGTTCACCTGTTCCAAGAAAATAATTTATTATAAACATGAACATTAATGGGATATAAATGATCATTATGTATTATAAAGTAATCATGAAGTATATTTTTTTGTTTTGTTGAAATTTACTTACATTGTTTGTTTTTAGGTCACAAACTCATTCTTCATTGGGATCAGCAGTGAAAGTTTCCATATGTTTCATAATGTAAACTCCACAGTTGGTGTAATCTTCGTTGCTCCTCCACTTCATTTTTTGCAAAACCACCTTATATTTCTCAATAGAATCTGCATCTTCATACCCCAACCCTTTCAAATATTCTGCATATCCTTTTAACTGCAACATATATAGAAAAAAAATTCAAAGGATCATATTAATATTGATCATTTTAATTTTCAATATTGATCATTTTGTATAAACAAATTGATCATTTATATATATATTAAACAATATACTTACCACCAATTGGGGTTGGTTTTCATACTTTGTTGCAATTGTTTGATGTTTTGGCAGTTTCCTGTTGTCAATTATATGCATTGTCTCATTGATATGATCAATGCATAGAAGATAGAAATGTGCATATATGGCCACTGGAAAAAAAATCTGTACATAGTACACAATATTATTATATATACACATTAATGTAAATGAACATATTATAATTCCATATTGTTCATTAATACCTGTTGATATCCAACTGCACTCTTGATTTTGTATAACCTTAATTCATTTGTTATTCTTTCTTTGAAGTATGCAATTCTAAGCTCCATTGATGATCCTTCAGGACACACTGTATTTGCATACATAATTTGCTGCAAATAATGCACAAGGATCATTTTAATATTCATAATGATCATCTAGTATAAGTGAATTGATCATTTTAGTACACCAATGTATACATGTGTAATTTCAATAAAGACTTACATGTGGAAATGTTGAAAAGTATAACTTGTTCTTTGACCTTTTTTAATTCAGAAGTACTGCCCATGAATCGATCACATTGTTAACTACTAATGTATCCCCTTCAAGAGTTTTCATCTCTTCCCTATTGATCGAATTCACTCCATCATAGTATAGTAGCTCACTGCAAAATATCAATTTTTTAAATTTTATGAGTTTACAACAAACATAATGTTAAAGTTTTAATGAAGTAAGTGATGTATACCTTTGATCTTTTCCACTATAAGCATAGTCTGTTACAAGTTTGTTCATTGTGTCTTCATCTTTGAACAAATCCTTATACTTGACCATGTATGGAGATCGGAAAGCAAGAGGAACATTTGGGATTTCCCTTTGTGGCCTAGTTAATGTGACCATATATTAATACAAATATGAATTTTTTTAATAATGAACAAATAATTTATATAAAGAACAAATAGTAATACCTTATCTCTTTTTTCTTTGCAATCTCAGTTTTTGCCTTCTCAACTTCTCTTGATTTTTTTCTTTCCAAAGTCTTCTCTCTGTCACTGAATAAATATTGAATTATGAATGATCATTTAGTATATTGGTAATGAACATTATAAATCTATACACATGTAAAGACCATTTACCTTTGTCCTGTTGTGTTTTTGGAAATTTGAATCTTCTCTGTTTCAATTTCTTTTGAATCCTTTTTTGTCTCACTAAATATAAATATAGTATAAATGATTATTCAGTTTAATGTAAAAGAACTTGTATATGTGGAATAATCATTTACCTTTCCTTCACATTTGAAGCATATATCTGTTTCTTCTTGTCTTCTCTGAAATATTAATCATGGTTAGTAATGAAGAGTAATTAATATAAAAAAAAACATTATTCTCCTTTTTTGAACAATAAACACTTAAAATATTACTAAAACATTTAAATTATAATACATAATTTACATATCTTAAATTGTGCATTCCTACCCTAAAGCAAAATATTCCCTTCTGATTTTATAATACATATCCATTACTAACTTCATAAACAAAAACAATCCAAAATAATTACACTTTATAACCAAATTTATTCTACATGTCCATTCAAAATTATATATTTTCTAACAAGATAGGTCTTCCATGTTTTCCCCATGCTTCCTCCTTTCTTTTTTGATTTATCAAGGATATCTTCCATACTTGAACATGCTGGAGATCAGCTTCCCTATTTTCAGTTGGTGTCTTGGGATCACCAACTTTTGAATCAGATGCTGCAAACAAAATACATGAAAAAAATTTAATATAACTAGAAATGAACATTATACTTAATAATTTGATCATTTATTTGTAATATGTGAACATTGTACCACTCTTTGAATTTCCTTCAACATTTTCTTCTAATGCTTCATATTTTGAACCTTCACCTTTGTTTAATGCTTTTTGTATTAATTTGCATTCACACATATATAGACTTAGTATCATTAAAGAAGAATATCTTACAATCACAAATGTTCATTTAATACTATATAAGTGAACTTTTTACCTTTTTTTGAATTTCCTCCATCTTGTGGTTCTTCAGAATTTGAACCTCCAACTCTTTCTGTTGATTTAAAATATATGAAATTGTTAATGTAAATGAACATTTGTTATTCTGAATATATACTTTTTTGAATATTTAGACTAAACAAACTTATTATTTTATAAATGAACATTATACTTTTCATAATTGTACATAGATATTAAAGCTTTACCCTCTTCTGGCTTAGAAGAAACATTTGCATCAGTTGTTGTTGAAGTTGTGGCTGCAACATTAATCTGTGCTTCTGTGTTCAAATAAATTAAATTTTAATTCTTTAATTATATTATACTCTTTAAGTAAGGATATTCAAATTAATGACAGTTTTTAATTAAGCATATTTACCAGTTGTTGGAGTTGGGGGAGTTAAGTTGCAACCCAAATTGAATGCCTTCCTTATATCATATTCCTTCTCATTTCCTATTTTCTTTCTTTCTGCTTCACTTGCCTCCATCAGTTCCTTCTCAATTTGAGCTATGGCATTCAAAAAATCCTCTGATCCAAATATTTCTTCAACTTGGCTGAGAATTGATGGTTCTCTTGCCATCTTTCCCAACACTTCATCTACCTTCTTGACCAACTGATTCCCAGGGAAGAGCTCTTTTGCCTTAACCAATTTGGTAGAAAGTCTTGCCAAAGATGCACCAACTTCTTGTACCATTGATGCAAATTCATTCATAAAGACCTGTCATTTATAGAACATATAAGAAAAATCATATAAGACATTATGTGTTTTGATATTGAACATTTCATAATTTATAAATGATCATTTTGTACCTTAGGATTGTCTGCAGGCTTTTCTTCTATTCTTGGAAGGACTTTTCCATATCCATAGTTCAAATCATTTTCTGTTTTTATCCTTTCAAGTGACATATCCCTTTTCCAACAAGAAATTATTGGAATTGTTCTTGGTTGTTTTTTGTTCAATCTTTGAACTCTGTCAAAGTAGAACAGCTGCACCAAAACCCATTACTATAAATGAACATATAATATAATACAAATGAACAATTAATATAAAAGATTAAAATTTTAGACGAAATTGATATTTAACATTTTGTTAATGAACATTCATTGTTACTAAAATGAACATTTTATAATTTACTATTGTGTGTTGTAAACTTACCATCAGAAATTGCAGTGGTCCATTGTAAAATCCTTTTCCTCCACTCTTTCTCCATGTCACATGGCAACTGATGAGAGAGTCAAACACGTACTGACACCAATTCAAGTTTTTTATTTTTTCTTTGTCCATCATAGAAAACAGAAACTTGAAATGGCATTGGTTGTTTGAAATACACTTCATCAAACAATTCACAGTAACTACCAAAAAGTTGGTGAGAAAATCTTCTTCTGCTGGCCTTTGGTTTTTGAATTTATCACTTGTATATTGAGCAATAATTTGGTTTACAGATGGTGTTTTGCCTTACCATTTTGACCTCCAATTTTTTATAAATACACCAAAATCTTCACTTGCTCTGTCTGATTTGGCTTCAACAATGGGAATGTCTCCCATTGGCAAACCATATACAATTCTCACATCCTCCACCTCAATTTCAATTTTCTCACCTTTAGGCAGCTCAAAACTACAACTACTGACTTCAAAGCTATCTAAAACCCAATGGCTGAATTGTTTGTCAAGCTGAGGAAGTTCTATATCCAACAACGGCCCCAGTCCTATTTCATGCACTAATTTCTTCTGTGTATCACTCATTTTCTTAACCCAATGCATGAATTTGACATGGCCTCCTCTTGTCGAACTTCCAACTTCCTCTTCATTCTTTTCTTCCTCCTCTTCTTTTTTTTTAGCCACTGAAAATTCAGTTTTCCTCTTCACAATCTTTTTTATTGGTTCCCTCTCATACAAAACCATTCTTTTTTCTTCAGCTTTTGGTTTTTTCAATGTTGTTTTCTTTTCTTGAACTACTTCCACCTCCTCACTTTCTTCATCTTCTTCTTTTTCAGCATCAAAAGCTGGATCCTCACTGTCTGATCCACTATCAGTATTACTTTTATCATCTTCTTCATTTTCCTCCTTTGATTGTTCTTCAATGATTTTTGTTTTCTTCAAAGGGCCTTTAGCTGATGCAGAAGGCCTCTTCTGGCCACCTAAACATTTGATCAATTATAATATGTAAAATGAACATATATATATGAAAGTGTAAATTGCTAGTTTGTATTTGAACATTTAACTTTATTAATATGTACATTACCTTTTTGTTCTACTTTTTTAAGAATTTTCTTTTCTGCAGGAGCAGAACTTGTTGCAGGGTCTTCTTCTTGTTCTTCATCCTCTGATGGTTCATCATAAGGCACTTGATCTATGACTTTTCTTTTTTTTGCAGGACTTTTGGCTGATGCAGCAGGTCTTTTCTGACCACCTAATTATTTGATCAATTACATTAAGTAAAATAAACATTTTAAAAGTGTAAGATTGTAATTGAACATTTATTGTTTTAGATATGTTCTTTTACCTTTTTGGCCTGCTTTCCCAATAACTGCAGCCCCTGTACGCCCTGTTTTCTCAACAGGTTTCTCTACAACTGCAGTTGCAGCCCTTGGACGGCCAGGTTTTTTGGGTGTTGTTGCTGCTGGTAGGTTTTCAGCAATTGCTACAGCAGCTGTTGCTATAGCTGATATGCCAGGAAACTTAACATCTGCAAATAAACATTGTTATATAAATATTAATATAGTTGTAATATTTTATTTAATATGATCATTGTTATATTAGAAATTGTACATTTTATTTACCTCGTGATTTACTTCTTGTTCTTCTTGCTGGTGATTGTTCATATTCCTGTTTTTTCTGATTTTCTTCCAATTCTTTTTTCTTTTGATTTTTCCTTGCAACCATTTTCCTTCTTGGTTGCTTTGAATTTTGTGAAGATTCTTCACTCTTTTGAGACAAATTTAACTCTTCAACAGGTTTTATACCTCTCAATATTCTTGTCAACTCCTCATCCCTTTGCAATTCTTCTTGTCTTTCCAATTCTTCTTCTGTTTCATCCTCAATCTCAATTTCTTCACCACCTATACATTTAGATCATTTACAAATTGGTAAATGAACATTTTCAGTATAAGTGTTATTGATTAAAAAAATTTAATATTTAATTTAACAATTATGTACATTACCAATAGGATTTTTTTAATTTCAGCAGGGGCCTTCTGTTGTGCATTTGCAGAACTTGCTGCATGGGATTTTTCTGCAGCAGAGGACTTTTCAGTAGTTGTAGCTGGGGCCATTTCAGCAGCAGTGGCTTTTCCAGCAGTATCAACAGTTGTAGCAGGGGCCTTTTTAGCAGCAATGACCTTGCTAACAAGAGCATTTTTTGTCAGTTTTTTTTAGTATTCCTTGAGTTGACACTTTTAATTTTTTCCTGGCAACAGATAATTTATGATCAATAATATTGTAAATGTGGAATAGAAACATTTAATAAGTTATATATGTTCATACTTTTGCATTATGTATGAATGTGTTTCTTCAACTGCTGCTGGAGGCTCATCCTCTTTTGGAGGCTCTTCCTCTGCTGGAGGCTCATCCTCTGCTATAGCCTTCACTTGTTGTGTAGGTTGATCCTTTGCTATAGCCTCTTTTGGAGGCTCATCTTCAGTTGATTGATTTCTGAAAATTAAAAATTGAAAATGATTAAAAATGTTTATCAACTAATATGAAAATGAACATTAGTTGATTTCTGAAAATACCCTGCTGCATCCTTTTTTGGTTGTAGTTGTTCAACCTCTCTTGTGTCTTTCTTAGGTGATTGATTTCTGAAAATCAATTAATTTCAAATAATTAAAAATGTTTATTAAGTAATATGAAAATGAACATTATGGGAATCAAATACCCTGTATTCACTAATTCTGATCCAGCCTTTTCTTGTTGTAGGTGATCAGTTTTTGCTTCCTCTTCAATTGTTTTTTTTTTCTGAGAATGCAAATCATTAGATTATGTATGACAACTAAGAAATAAATGAATATTAAACACATTGAGGTAGAATATACCCTTGATTTGTTGATGCATCATCTATTTTTGAAGTTTCCTTCTCTTGTTCACTGAAATTTTTCGAATGTTAATACATAAAAGTATGATTATGTAACTGTATAAAAATTAATTATTGAATTTTTATTAAGTATTTATACCTTATTGATTGATTTTTCTCTGGCCTTGATCTTGACATTATAAATTTCACTTTCAACTTTTTTGGTTCACTAAAGTTTTACAAATTATTTCAATTATGAGATTAAGTATTGAAGTAAATGATTGTACATTAAATATTACATATATGAATATTTGTAAGTATATCAACTTACTTGGGATGTAGGTTGTCTCCTAATAAATAGGGTTCCCACTTTTTTATAACTTCATTTCTATCCAATTTGTTGTCTATTTCAGAACATTCTTTTCTCTCATGAATTATAGGATAAGGATTGAACATTCCATTGTCAAATTGCATCAAGTGTATCACTTTAAATGGTACATCACTACAATGTAAATTAATATTGTAAATCATAAAAATTGACATGATGTTTCTATGTTAGACAAATGTACAGAATAGTTTATATAAATGATCAATATAGTTGTAGCAATGAACATTTGTATACACATATATGGATATATATAACATAATATGAATTTTGACAATATAGTGTTTTGTAAATGTTCATTTTACTACACAGATGAATAAAGTATATGTTTTCTATTTGTACAAAATGGAATTTAGACATGAACAATTAATATGTCAGTAAATGTATACACATAAATTTAGAAATGAACAATTTAGAAACAAACATAAATTGCATGCTGTACACATAATATACAAATTTGAACATATGTATACATATATATGCACACAATCCAATTTGAACATATACTGTTTTGTATTTGTTCATTATATTTCACAATACTATACTTTATATTTTTTTGGTTGATCATTTAATCAAAATTATGCATACATCCCAATATTAACAGTAACTTGTTTAAATTTTTATTATCGTCTCAGAAATAGAGGAAAATTATGTTTATTTTGAAATTAAACAGTAACTTGTTTAAATATGAGCAAATTTAAATAAATTTATGCTTATAATTCCAAAAAAAATAGTAATACTTACTTTGATTGTTCTGGAACTCCAGTATTTTCAATTTTTTTCCTGAAGCATCATCAAAAAGGAAAAATACCAAAAAATTAGGGTTTTATTTCGCAATTTTCAATTAATTTTACACTAAACATGTAAAACATACTTACTCATTAGATTTTTGGTTTGTTGTTGTTGAAATTTGTCGAGATTGTGCAATTTCGTCTCTTATGTCGGACATTTTAGACAATTTTACTTGCTAATTGCATGTACGAAAATGGAGTAGAGAGAGAAAATGGAGGTTGAGTGAGAAATTGGAGAAAGAGGATGAGAAAGAAAAATGTGATTATTTGAAAAGTTTTTTTTTTTTAATTATATATATATATGGGTGGGGTAGTGGGAAGTTACTGGCGGTTTTAGAGGGAAGTTACTGAAATGTGTGGGGGTAGTGGTACGGCGTCGTTTAGGGGGGGTGTAGGGATAAATGACTAAACTAGAGTCTAGCCATAAACAATTACCAAAAGTGAACACGACCAATAACTAACCAAACTCTTAGCCCAACCCAAATTCCAGCAACACAACCGAAAAAGCCCGTAAAACAAACAACAAAACTAGGGTTTTATAGAGTCCATCGACGATATAAAACCCTAATTTATCGTCCCCTTCATTTCTTTCTGAGATCTCTCCTATAGCCTCAACAACTCAAACCCCCATTTTTGGAGCTTAGGTTTTCATGTTTTCTCTCTTTAATTTTACATTCAATTCGTTAATTTCTTCATCATTTATGTAATTATTTATACTAAAATTTTCTGGGTTTGATTATAATTTGCAGGAGAAGAAAAAATGGCGACAGTACCAGGATCTTTGGTGTGGGAGATCGTGAAGAAGAACAACTGCTTTTTGGTGAAGGAATTTGGGAATGGATCTGCTAAAGTTCAGTTTAGCAAGGAGAACAACAACCTTTTCAACAAACACTCCTACAAGTATTCCGGTAATAATAATTTCGTTAATTAAGTTTATTTTCAGTTCGATTTATGTGGTATTTACTGGGTTTTTGATGATTTGTATGATCGTTTGTAATTCGCTAGTGTTCGTTTAACAATGTGTGGGTTTTGATGATTTTTTGGTTTTCTTAATTATATGTTGTTATTTGATTCATTGGTATTGTATTTTTTTGCTGGGTTTTGTTGATTCGCTTGATTATTTGAAGATGGAAAGTAAATTAAAATTCTTGAATACTAAGGGTTTGATTTGGTGGGTATATATGTTAATTAAGCTTAATTTGGGTATATAATCGTATTAAGTCATGTAATTATTCTTGACCGTATTGTATTATATTGTGATTTTGAGTGGCTTTCATGTGTAGCTTGCTGCTTTTTAGGGTTTTGGTGTGTGTTTAAGTAGGATTGGTTTTCACTTGATCCTTGTAGCTCTGATCAAGTGATTGACTATATGAGGAGCTGTTACGAATTCCATTTCTCCAAAAATGAAGGATTTTTGTGCTAGGAAAGGCCTTTATAGTTTGTAATTACAATTTTGGGTTTTACAACTCGGTTCATTTACTCCTGTTGATCATTTCTTTCCTCCATTTCTCAGAGCAACTGCTTTCTTAAAATGTAGTGTGTGGTGTGTTACTGTCACTTGTGTTTCCCACCATGTTTTTGTTGTATGCTGTGATTGGCTTTGTAGTAGTACCCTAATTTAAGATTGGGTTGTTATTATTAATTAATCATGTATGTGTTATCTTAGGACTTGCAAACACCAAGACCGTGTCTGTTCAACCAGGAGGCAAAGACTCAGTTGTGCTCGCTACAACCAAGACCAGGAAGCAGAACAAGCCCGGTAGTCTAAAACACAAGTCTGTGATGAAGAAAGACTTCAGCAGGATGGTCAAGGCTGTTGAGAACCAGGTAATTGATTATTTGTTTTTTGTATAAAAGGCGTGAACTTGAATTTTCTTATGTTCCTCTTATAAATGAGTATCAAGACTAATCACAATTCTCTATCAAGTATTTAAGTTCAGTGATAAGACTGGACTATTTAATTACAAGAGCATTGGATTGCTTGAATTGGAATGCTATGTTTATATGTTTTATTGTATAGGGAGGTTTGTGTATGTGTATATAGAGTTGAAGCAGAATCTGTGTTGTTGTTTGGGAACGTTGAATTCTCATGCCCCTCGACTGAAAGTGCTCACTTATACCCTGATGCAATACATGCATACTTTTAACACCTCATCTGATAATGAGCTAAACCTTGCTTTCTTTAGCTTCTTATTATCGGATGAGTTGCTGGAAGATGTAGTTTAGCTTCTTCTCAATTAAGTTGAATGTTGGCCTATGTTTGTTGGTTCTTCACAGGCCATTTGTTAATTTTCAGTTCATGGATACTGAGAATGAGATTGGGGTGGTGTACGTTGAAAAACTATGAGTTAACTAGGATGTTCCCTTTGTAGGTGTATTTGAACACTAGCTGTATTAGTCACTTGAATGCTCTGCTACGATGATTGTAGCAGCATTTAAGATCTTATTTCTGTCGATTTGCATCAATTTGTTTTGAGTATTTTTTTACTGCTTGATCTTCACATTTCATGCTCGTGTGTTTGGCAGGTTGCCAACAATTACTACAGGCCTGACTTGAAGCAAGCTGCCCTTGCAAGGTTGAGCATTGTGAACAGAAGCCTTCAAGTTGCCAAGTCTGGTGTTAAGAAGAGGAACAGGCAGCCACCTAAGCTCCGCGGCAGGAAGTGAATTAGGTGTTGAAATTTTGTCATACTTTTGAGTAGTAGTTCTGGATGACTCTTCGTCTCAATATCCTATTTTGTTTCTCTGTAGTTTTTGTGGTGTGACAGTATTATTTTCAATTTATGAGAAATAGACGACTTGGTTTCAGCTGTTTTTGTCGTACAATTATGTGTTTGTGGAATGGAAACATAGAAGCAATCATCATCATTGAAAGTTGGAAGATGTTACTTCACCCACCATAATTTTGGATGGTTAATTTTCTTTCCATTTTGCTACTTGTGAGTTTTGACATAGCAAGCAATCTGCTTCAGGAGTATATGATGCTTAATGATTCTAATTGATCCGGTCCTTTATCTTGCTGATGGATAGATCTATACCTTAATGTATACTTAGGCTGGTTGGCCTGTTGCAATCACTATAGTGATCTTCCAACACCATATTAATCAACATTATTATTGTACTAGTATTGCTAACACAAAAATAACTACACGAATAAACTATTCATCTTTCAAAAATAAAAGCAGTATTAAATTAATTATATATGCAATATAACTTTAGAACGGATAACTTGTAAGCCTTTTTGAATAAAGTGACTAAACAGATTACGTCGGATAACTTATAAGACCTAACTGGGTGTTGCAATTTTGCAAACCACTGGATTAGTTATGTAACTGGGTTCAAAGGGGAAAAGGACTGTACAGTAACTTTTATCATTTTATGTAATAATGTATTCTAATTACTAAAAAGGCATATAAGATAGAGACCTGAGGGTGCACCGGCGCGAAGAATAGAAGAGTGGGACCGGGGCGGGGTGGGGTTAAACGAGGGAGAGGGAGACCGAAGTTGACTTGGTTGGAAGGATATGAAATATTTGGATTTGCATGAGAAATGAGACATTTGATCGTAAGGGATAGAGGAGGAAGATTTTTGTTAATGACTACACAAAATAATCACTTTTGATTCATGTAGCTGACCCCACTTATGGATTAAGGCTTTGATTGATTGATATGTAGTCTAATCACTTTGAATCACTTTTCTGCAATCACAAATATGAAATGTGAAGTTCATCTAGAGGGCTCGACCCAAATTTTATTGCCTACTGAAACATGGGGAAATAGACGAATACATAGTAAAAGAAATCTCAAGAATGCAGCATTCACAAATTACAGGAAGGGTGACTTAAATCTTTGAAAATACGTTTTGTTTGGACAATTTTCTGTTTTATGTAGGAGCCCTTAGTTAAGAACCAATATAAAGTTCAGATTCTTTTCTATGTACAAGTAAACATTGCTAATCAATAAGCTGAGGTGTGATCTTTATGCTGACTGTAGCCAATTAAGAGCAACAGCTAGAGCTTTGGTTGACAGGTTGGCCACGAATTTGCACACCAGAAGGCTTGTCTGCACCTGCTCCAGGTTGAGTAGCCATTCTGCATAAGAAGAAATAGAATGATTGACCTGAAATTTACTATTATACGAAGAATAAAAACCTAATATGAAACATACCGATTCTTTATGTCTGTTGTCATGGTCAGAAATGCCTGCTCAACATTGGTAGCATCTTTGGCACTGGTTTCCAGGAAGGGAATACCAATTTCATCGGCATATGCCTTGAAAAAATTCCAAAGAATTGTTAGCTATATTATGCCTTTAGCTTGCATATTCGTACTTAGTAGTATTGATCAATTGATCATTAGAACCAATGGCATACCTTAGCAGTTTCATAAGGAACAGCTCGATTGGCTGTTAAGTCGCTTTTATTTCCCACCAAGAGCTTGTTCACATTATTGCTTGCATAACGATCAATTTCACTAAGCCATTGTTTCACATTATTGAAGCTTTCTTGATCTGTGATGTCGTAAACAATCTAGCAGAAAGCAAGGGCAAGTACTGTCAAACCTGTATAAAAGTTGGAACATTTTTCAAGATTGGTAGACTTAAGCTTACAATGATTCCATGTGCTCCACGGTAATAGCTACTTGTAATGGTACGGAAACGTTCTTGACCAGCAGTATCCCACTAAATCAAGCACAATAAAGATGTAAGTTGACTTGCATAAAAAGCTGGAAACAATTAGAGAAGCTGAAAAATACTTACAATCTGCAGCTTTATGGTCTTGTTATCCTGCTCCACTGTACGAATTTTCTAAAGCACAAATAAAAAAAAAAATTGATGATAATCAATTCACAGGAGAAAGTGTCCAATTCAGTTTACCAGCAAGATGTCATTACTCACAAAGTCAACTCCAATTGTGCTTATGTAGCTGTCCAGGTACGAATCGTCCTTCATTATCATACAAGAAGTAGTCAGCCAAAGTAACATTTACACAGAAGTTCAAGGGGTGCTTCAAATGGAAAATTCACAACTGATGGTACATAAATATGAAGCAATTAAATGCAGAAATACAAGTTTCTCAACGGTAGCAGAACAATTTATTATCATTGATGTTCTTAACCTGAGGAAAGAAGGAAGCATAGGAGACAGCACAATGCAAAAAATACAACACAAACAGCTAGTATAATCGCAAAAGAACCAGAGAGAATTAGATGTCATTATTGATTATTTTATATAATGTGTACTACTCTCTGATATGTTCTCTCAGAAGAAATAAGGAAACCACATATCAGTGTGGAAGAAGAAAATTTACAATCAATAGAAAGTTCTGCCTAGACATTTGTAGGAAAGAAAAAACTTGGCTATAGGATATTACATGAGAAGAAAAGGTCAAAGGGATTAAAAATTTACAGAGCTAGGCAATGGTGTGTTTCAAGTAATGTTGCATCGTTTCATTGCTTGTCATAGAACCAACAAGAGAAACTTCCAAACGTCTAACAGACACATCAGCAATATCTTTAGGGGTCAGTGGTCAGGTGCCACAATTCTACAATGCTAGTTCTGCATTCCACTTAGTGGCCAGATGCTTGGATTCCAGAACCCTTGCAGATTCATTGACCTCAAGACTCAAACAGATGTAAAAATAAAGCAAAAGTTACACTATAAAGAAGAACAAACATTTTTTGTCTGTCTGTACTCTGTAGAGGAATAGAAAGAAAGCCTATAAGATTAGTGAAATAGAACTTAAAATGCCTAGTGATGAATTCGTGAAAAGAACACTTTTATTATGCTATATCCATGGGATGAAGTGATTACACCTAAACTGCTAAACCTCCAAAAGTCCTATGATCATCCAATTTGTCCGAAAGTCCTATGATCATCCAATTTGTCCGATAGAAATCAGAAAAAAAAAAGTCATTTATAAAATACATGTGAAGGCTTATAAGACCAAGAAAACAATATCCCTCATGGACTTCTGAGACTGTCAGACTGTGTTCCTGTAAGAGAATGGAATGAATAGACCCGCAAGAGGTTGAAACTTGAAATGCTGTAGTTGCACTAGAAAAGAAGAAAGTTAGCGCTATGTCACGTGCCGACTACTTTGCCCTAGTCACGCACCGTGCGCCACCCGCTTACAGTCCGTCGTAAGACGAGTCAGGCTTTCTCCTTGGCACTTACTCCTTGTGCCCACGTAGCACAACTCCTTGTGCTGCTAGTATAAGTTTGCTAGCACGATCCCTTTGTGCTAACAAGTCCCCTTTGGTTGAACTAAGCACTCACCCTTAGTGCCTTAGTCCGAATTTACGACTAAGTGTCGTAGACAATTGAGCACCCAAGCTATCACCCTTGCTGGTATGCCCGATCACTCACTTGGCACCCCCGTGCCTTAGTTTTCCTCACACTCTCTAAGTGTTTGAAGGAAAGAGATTGAGTTGCAAGAGAACACAAGTGCTTCTGGAATGTCTTTTGTATTACTTTCAACTTATAGCTCTTAACTTGTTGATCTCTCAACTTCCTGTCACGTGCTGACTACTTTGCCCTAGTCACGCACCGTGCGCCACCCGCTTACAGTCCGTCGTAAGACGAGTCAGGCTTTCTCCTTGGCACTTACTCCTTGTGCCCACGTAGCACAACTCCTTGTGCTGCTAGTATAAGTTTGCTAGCACGATCCCTTTGTGCTAACAAGTCCTCTTTGGTTGAACTAAGCACTCACCCTTAGTGCCTTAGTCCGAATTTACGACTAAGTGTCGTAGACAATTGAGCACCCAAGCTATCACCCTTGCTGGTATGCCCGATCACTCACTTGGCACCCCCGTGCCTTAGTTTTCCTCACACTCTCTAAGTGTTTGAAGGAAAGAGATTGAGTTGCAAGAGAACACAAGTGCTTAAGAAAGGCTTTTTGTATTGCTTTCAACTTATAGCTCTTAACTTGTTGATCTCTCAACTTCCTTGGTTCTTGCTTGAACTCGTACAAGGACTCGGCAGCAGCGATGGCATCAGCGAGAGTTTGGACGTTTCGGCGCTTCAACTCTTGCTCAGCCCATCGTTGTAGACCATCCATAAAGTAGAGAAGTTGAGTCTTCTCCGGCATCTCGGTCACCTCCAGCATGAGTGAAGTGAACTGTTTGATGTACTCCTTGACTGACCCCGTATGCTTCAACCCACGCAGCTTCTTTATGGCTACCTCTTCCGAGTTTTCTGGATAGAATTGCTTCTTGAGGTCGCTCTTGAACTCGTCCCAGGTGTTGAGTTGGACAACACCCTTCTTGATGTCGGTCTCGCGCCTTCTCCACCAAAGGATGGCATCGTCCCCCAAGTACATGGTAGCGGTGTTGATTTTTGATGCATCGTCGTCCAAATGCATCGCGCCAAAGTACTTCTCGATGCTCCACAGGAAGTTCTCAAGCTCCTTAGCATCGCGCCTTCCGTTGTACTTTGGCGGTTCGGGGACCTTCAACCTAGGTCCATCCCGAACAGCGGCACCCCCGGCCATTGCTGTCTTGCACAACACCATGTCGGCGTGTAAGGACTCGATCTTCTCTTCCATCGAGCCGATCCTATTTTCCATTGAGTCAATGGTGGACATGAGGAGATCCTTCGGTTGGGCCATCTCTGCCCTAATATCTCCAGCAACTTGACTGACCAAGGATTGAGTTTCCACCTTCGCCTCCTCAGTCCCTGACTCAAGACCCTTGACCCTAGCCTCAACATCATCGTATTGTTCGTTGAGGTCATTAATGCTATCTCGTTGTTCCGAGATGGCCTGGACCATACTAACCATCTTCTCCTCAAGCAAGGTGGTACGGCTAGCTTTCTTACTGGTGTTTCCCTCTTCCACAACGGATGCATGGGCATCGTCCTTTTGTGCCATACTCCTGACTTCCGCACTTATCTTCTAACAACAACTAGCACACAAACGCAACAGACCGCCCCTACGATCGACGTTGCTCTGATACCACGTGTCACGCGCTGACTAATTCCCCTAGTCTTTTGCACGCGGCCTACTAGAGTCACCACCCGTTAGACTACTAGTCAAGGCTCCCCAATTGCTTAGCAAAGCTAAATATTGCTGTTGTTAGTTAAGTGTGGTTTGCTTGGAAAGCACAAGTGAGAATATATGAGAAGGCTTTAAGGAAGAAAGCACTTGTATTCTCTCAAGCATTTATAAAAGCTTTTATAAATGCTTGAGAGAATACAAGTGCTTTCTTCCTTAAAGCCTTCTCATATATTCTCACTTGTGCTTTCCAAGCAAACCACACTTAACTAACAACAGCAATATTTAGCTTTGCTAAGCAATTGGGGAGCCTTGACTAGTAGTCTAACGGGTGGTGACTCTAGTAGGCCGCGTGCAAAAGACTAGGGGAATTAGTCAGCGCGTGACACGTGGTATCAGAGCAACGTCGATCGTAGGGGCGGTCTGTTGCGTTTGTGTGCTAGTTGTTGTTAGAAGATAAGTGCGGAAGTCAGGAGTATGGCACAAAAGGACGATGCCCATGCATCCGTTGTGGAAGAGGGAAACACCAGTAAGAAAGCTAGCCGTACCACCTTGCTTGAGGAGAAGATGGTTAGTATGGTCCAGGCCATCTCGGAACAACGAGATAGCATTAATGACCTCAACGAACAATACGATGATGTTGAGGCTAGGGTCAAGGGTCTTGAGTCAGGGACTGAGGAGGCGAAGGTGGAAACTCAATCCTTGGTCAGTCAAGTTGCTGGAGATATTAGGGCAGAGATGGCCCAACCGAAGGATCTCCTCATGTCCACCATTGACTCAATGGAAAATAGGATCGGCTCGATGGAAGAGAAGATCGAGTCCTTACACGCCGACATGGTGTTGTGCAAGACAGCAATGGCCGGGGGTGCCGCTGTTCGGGATGGACCTAGGTTGAAGGTCCCCGAACCGCCAAAGTACAACGGAAGGCGCGATGCTAAGGAGCTTGAGAACTTCCTGTGGAGCATCGAGAAGTACTTTGGCGCGATGCATTTGGACGACGATGCATCAAAAATCAACACCGCTACCATGTACTTGGGGGACGATGCCATCCTTTGGTGGAGAAGGCGCGAGACCGACATCAAGAAGGGTGTTGTCCAACTCAACACCTGGGACGAGTTCAAGAGCGACCTCAAGAAGCAATTCTATCCAGAAAACTCGGAAGAGGTAGCCATAAAGAAGCTGCGTGGGTTGAAGCATACGGGGTCAGTCAAGGAGTACATCAAACAGTTCACTTCACTCATGCTGGAGGTGACCGAGATGCCGGAGAAGACTCAACTTCTCTACTTTATGGATGGTCTACAACGATGGGCTGAGCAAGAGTTGAAGCGCCGAAACGTCCAAACTCTCGCTGATGCCATCGCTGCTGCCGAGTCCTTGTACGAGTTCAAGCAAGAACCAAGGAAGTTGAGAGATCAACAAGTTAAGAGCTATAAGTTGAAAGCAATACAAAAAGCCTTTCTTAAGCACTTGTGTTCTCTTGCAACTCAATCTCTTTCCTTCAAACACTTAGAGAGTGTGAGGAAAACTAAGGCACGGGGGTGCCAAGTGAGTGATCGGGCATACCAGCAAGGGTGATAGCTTGGGTGCTCAATTGTCTACGACACTTAGTCGTAAATTCGGACTAAGGCACTAAGGGTGAGTGCTTAGTTCAACCAAAGAGGACTTGTTAGCACAAAGGGATCGTGCTAGCAAACTTATACTAGCAGCACAAGGAGTTGTGCTACGTGGGCACAAGGAGTAAGTGCCAAGGAGAAAGCCTGACTCGTCTTACGACGGACTGTAAGCGGGTGGCGCACGGTGCGTGACTAGGGCAAAGTAGTCAGCACGTGACAGCTAGCCTTCTTCCCAAGCCCCCCTACGTCACTTCTGGCGAATCTGTAAGAATGCTTATGTAGCTTACAGTTACTACACCCAGTCCTACTAGGAAAGGGCTACATAACAGACCTTTTCCATAACTACAATGCTGTGTCAGAGAGCTAAACAGACAACCTTTGAGCTTAATCTAAGGCAAACTTCTTCACACTAAACAAATTATCCAAGAAAATCAAAAGCTAACTTTTATAACAGTTATCTGGCAGAGGTCTTCCTTGTTACAAGATGAAATCCAAACATTGAACTGAAACATTACAAGCACAAAGATGAACTGACATACCGCAAATCTGAGTAAAAGACATGACTTTCCCACTCCAGAGTCACCAATGAGCAAGAGCTTGAAGAGATAGTCACTGCAATGTTTATACAGTCAGATTATGGTAAAAGGCTAACATCAAGGAAGACTTATATAGTCAAATGTAGCTCAAGAGTCCTTGACTAGAATACAAATGATTGACAACATAAAATGCAGCTTAATTTATAGTAAGGAAGTAGGTTTTTGCAGAACGATAAATAGATTACAAATTAAGTAAAGCAAATAAAGGACAAGGTGTTTTGATGACGCAGAAAACCCAAATGTCGTGGGAAAAACTGCGGGTGGGAGCAATACCACCAAACATCTTAGCAATTAGAACTTAGAAAGTTAGAATTAGCATAGTCATTGTACATTTTTTTGGATTATTTTGTGTTTGGTTGGTGGATAACTTCTGTAGATTCTAATAACAATGATTTAATTCAGGCAAATACATTAAGAATTTTGTGCATCTATCTCCAAGATATACATCCCTTGTCCTCAGCTAAATGTCTCATTTCCTATCTTAGGGTGTTCCATAATAAGTCTACATTTCCCTTATGTTCGTCACTTAAATGACTTAATTGCAACATCCCCTATGAATTTTTCTAGGACCACAAGATCTAACAAAAGACGGGTTCCCATGACGTTCATGGCATTGAGCAACAAATTCAGCAATGATTTATTTCCATCACAAATTAGGGGTAACATTTTTATTAATCTACTTTACTCGAACTCTTTATATTTATCTTAAGCACATCAAATCGACACTCCAACATGAGCATGGATACTTCAATACTTCATTTTGAACCTAGCACATGGAAATTATTCATAAAAAAGCCGAGTTTGACACTTGGATGCGTACTCTGATACGAGTTCCCAAGTCCAACCTCATCTTAATTTAACCCATTGAACATCCCTTCAAACATAACAAACCTCACACGGTCACACCCGCCCCTGCTCCCCCCTACAAAAGAGGGAAATTGAAATTCATTTCCAATAAATTGTTACCCATCAACTAGTGACAACTACTGGCTTCATCCAATCATACAAATAATTTTTTAAAACTACTATTAAAATTTCTCCCTAAAATATGAACCTAATGATTCTAGTTTCAAAATTTCCCCATTTTATAATAAGGAATTCTATAAAGCAAGAAAATTTCAGCTCCGATCAGGGTCAAACCTTCATAAAATAATAAAATTCAACAAAAAAATTGAAGTAAGAAACTGAATAATTCTGGAAATTGACTTCAACAAATTAATCAAGCAAAAACCCTAAAAAATCCATCGAATCAAATTACACAAATAATTAATAACTAGTTAATTAAAATGATCATAAAGAGATATAGAAAGAGCTTACTATTCGGGATTCATCGCAAGTATAAAAGTAAAATTCAGCTTAAGAAATTACAAAATAAATTGGAGTAAATTCAACTCTGGTTACGTATGAAGAGAGAGAGAAAAAGAGAGAAGGTTGCTTTGAATGATAGAAGTTAATCTTCACTAACTTCTTCAGTCAGTTGACAGGTATACACGTTTGTTATTTTTATTATTTTATTTTTTTGGCATTATTGTAGACGTAATTAATTGTTGGGCTTTCATTTTGTCCTAATAGCCCTAAATTTAAGCCCACTTATGTCCAACTGGACATGGGTCGGGCTAACGCACGGACCATATGGGTTTATCATGAAATTAGTTTCTCGGCTAGAGGCACCCTAATAGGTCATACTCACAACAATCCTAAATCTTGCATGGAAATTAATCAAATTATGTTTAAAAGTTGGCGCGATTATGATGGGCTAATTTTTCAGCTCCACATGGGTCGGTTGGGCTGTGTATATGGGCCCTATTATGGAAGATTAACATGAGTTTGACATGACAAATCGGTTTTGATTTTGTTATTTGTTGCTAAACAATTTTAATCGTTTTTTACAGATAAAAAATTTATTAAATATAGTAAAAATTATAATTTTTGTATATTATGATAGTATTTATTGAGACGAATTCAAAAAGACCCCGCATGAATTTGTTTTTCCTTACATATTATTCACAAAAGACGGTCAAAGGAGGAGTGGCGAATAATGTATAAGTCAAAACGGATCAAGTAAAAAAAACGGAGGAAGTAATATATTATAACGTACATTATAATGTACAATGGATAGTTTAATATAACAATGTACGCTCGGTTATACGATAATTTTTTCATACACCACCCAGTTTTAGAGTACCTTTTTAGCACTTTTACGTTAACTTAAATCTTTTAAGGTAACTTTAAACTTGTTATACGGAGTACTACGTAGCTTTTAGTGTGCTTTAAGAAGTGATTTGTAAGACACAAGCTTTACAAACGATAAAACTGTTACCTTAATACATTAGAAGTAATTTTTACATTGTACGATGAAGTACATTTAAAGAAAGCAATTTTATCAATAAAAATGTACGAAGTAATATTTACCATATATTGAGATACCTTGTCATAAATTAAGGTAAAGTTAGTTGTTTCTATGGCCTCTATTCATTATAAGAAAAGTATTTATACATCTTATTTAGCATTTAGAAAGAAACTTCTAACTTTGAGATTGGAGGTTCAATTATTCCCTCTAATAGCATTTTGAGTAGGGATGGCAATTCAATTCGAGTTCGTTTCAAATCCAATCCGATCCGAAGAAAAAAAATCCGATCCAAATTCGTTTAAAAATAGTCCGAATCCGAATTCGAATAGGAGGTGGATTGGACTTGGACCCTGCGCAAAGTCTGACCGAGTTTGACCCGAATCTGACCCGAGACAATATGATATAAGAAATTAAGTTTATTAGGGATAGTACAAGCAATTATAGGTATATCACACATTAAAAAAAAAAAAAAAAGGTATTCGGATCATTCGGAGGTCTGAATAAATGGATCGGATTCGGATCCTAAAATTACGGGTCGAATTGAATTGGACTCAGACTTTTCGGATTTAGCCGCATCCGACCTGAATCCGATTCGTTGCCATTCCTAATTTTGAAAGTAGGGTTTCCTTACTCTTCCCCCACTCTCACTTTGTAGCCCGCTAACTTGGGTTAGATTGACCTATATGAGGTTTTGGATTGATATACCATACCCCGCAAGAGCAGCAGTTGGTAGGAATCAAACCCATAACCTTGAGGTAATGAGTTGAAACTCCTACCAACTTCACTAAGTACTACTTGGTAAGATGAAAATAACTGTTATACCTATTCTAGTTACTTGTTGATCAGGAAATTTAAAAAGATAAAAACATCCGCTATACTTGGTTACTTGTTGATTAAGATTGGATGAACATACGCAAATCAATTTTTTTTTTTTTTGGGATTTGCTGATGATTCTTTATTTAGCTTGCCTTACATGGCAAGTAATAACTAAGAAGGGCATTAGGCATAACATGTTTTCAAGTCACGATTCTAAACGGTACAAGTTACACCCTACCTTCGTAATCGTAATAGCCCTCAATTAAAGCCCACACACCTTTTCTTTTGTTGACATGCATGATGAGGAAAATACAAGTAGGAGACTCGTACATATAATACATAAACATACGGTATGTAGTACGGTATACCTATTTGTATATGTTTTTTCAAGAAGAAAATGTATTGTGTTAGTGCCTTAGTGGTTTGATTTCCTGAAATAACTTTTCTTTAATTCCTACTATTAACCCTCTTCCGATACATTAGCCATCTCCTCATAGTAGCTTGTTCATGTAGAATTTATATCAATTGTATCGTATATATTAATTCGCTAGTAACAGAAAGGCATTACATAATTTTGCTCGATAGAAATGAAATATTTTGTGTGTGTCCAACCTATGTCTTCATTGTTAGGGAATGAAGTCTATCCACGCATGCTGCCCATGCTCATCAACTCAACAACATTCCCATAATATTAGGAGCTTACTTGTTCAATGTTGTTTTACATTCTTATCTTTATAGGTTTTTATATTTTGTACTTATCATATATACTCATGTACATCTTTATGTAAATCAATCAAGAAACAATAACAACAATATTCCCTTATATTCATAACATATCTACGTATGTATGTTGTTAGTTCGTTGCAGATAACATTTGTTCATATATTTGGTGAAAGGGCACATAATCATAACGATATTTTTTTCTCTACATTTCAATCACGGACCTTTTGTAAATGACAAAATACATAGATATTGTCAGAACAACGTTTTTAACAATGCCAGTTTCATAATTTCGTTTAATTAATTAGACTTTTCCCAAATTATTAAATGACCAATAATATTCTTCCAGTGCAACCTAAGAATTCAGAGATTTATATTTCTAACGTCGTCATGTGGTGCAACCCACAACTATTTGAGAATTTGACTAAATCAAATAATAATAATAAAAAAAAATGATCCAGAACATTATGTAATGAAAATTGATCGATGCTAGCTAGGATCATCATTTTTTAGGTTTTTTTTTTTTTTTTTTTTTTTTTTTTTTTTTTTTTTTGGATTTTTTAAAAATAATAAAAATTATTATTAGTACATGACATGAACCGATTGCAATCCGACTAGATCAGAATTCAAAAGTTAAACTAAATGACTTATCACATGAAATTGATCGAAATGAAATTCTGGTATAAATGGCCCATTTTCTCAATAAGGGATGTAATCCAATCATGTGCAATTTTGTTAAGTTTGTCTTTGATTTATATGCTCAATCTATCAATATTTTTATTTATTTTTATTCACATGTTCATAATTAATGATCAATTTTGTTTATTTTATAATTTACATAGCATGATAGATATTATAGAAAGATAATACTCACTCTGTCCCCTTTTATTTGCACCATGGATCCACTATATGTGAGAGCTTATGAGTCATATGGTGCAAAAAAAAGAGACAAAGAGAGTATTTGTTATAGACTTAACATATACTAGATGGAAGTCTGTGCGATGCACGGTTTTTTCATCTAAGATTTTTAATTATTTGATTTATTGTATTTAATAATTTTAGACAAAATTGCGAAAATTTAATATTTTTTTTACTATAATTTATAATGAATTTATTAAATATAAATAAATTGTAAATATGATATTGTTTCCGTTATATAAAATCTTTGAGGTGAAATGATAAATTTTTAATAATTTAAATCCTAAATCATTATTCATTGTTTTACCATATCTTTTATTTCGATAGAATCACCAACCTCGTTCACAACCAACCTACTACATCAATGGATAAATTGAACCGTGAAATGTTAGCCAAACTGAAATTGATATAAATTAAATCTTTACATTTATATAAAATAAATCAATATATTTACCAATAAATGAAAAATTATTGCGATATAAAATCAAATCTATGTATTGGAATTTTTTCATCATCTCCAAAAATAACCAAAGTCATCCATATATTAAGTATACAACATATAATCGTATGCCATTAAATAAACAAATAATTGTTAAGTATCCTAAATAAATACAATGTAACTAATAATTACAAATATAAATTTAAACATAAGATTTTAAAAATTACCCGGACATTGATGACCTAAAACTAACACAAAATTACTAACACAAAATTCGCTTGATGGGGTTTTGTATTGATACAAAATTTTATTGGTGTCGTATGATGTGTTAGATCTGCATGTAAAAAAATATTTAGTAAATAAAACATAAACATATAATCGTTGAGTATCCCAAATTAATACAATGTAAGTAATAATTAGAAATACTAATTTAAACATAGGATTTTAAAAATTAAGCTAAAAAATTACCCGGTCATTGATGACAAAAAATTAACACAAAATTACTAACACAAAATTCGCTTGATGGGGCTTTTTATTGATACAAAATTTTGTTTGTGTCATATGATATGATGTGTCCATTTATAATGGTAGGTATCACAAATTTTAATTTATATATAATTAACGAACAATTTGTATTTCTTATCATAAATACTATCAGTTTATCTTATAGTGATAGGTATCAAACTTTATTATAAGCGTTTATCATTTAAATATTTTTTAGTATATTTTTTTTGGATTTCTTATACTCGTAGTATTGAATTAAAAAATTTATCTTTTCCTATATTTTTACTTTTTTTTCATTAAAATAATTTAATTCGTGGATTATAATCTACGTGGCATTAAAATTTTAGATATATCAAATCTAATTTGTTACTTTTATCTAAGTGGTGACATAATTTTTTAATTCAAAAATAAAATACAAATCTTTCTTCTTATTGGTTGAAATAAGTGTATTTCTTATGTAGCGCGCCGAATGCTCTCGAAAAATGTCTACTTTATTTATATAAAATATATTAGATTTGTATATATTTTGTATAATAATCGTACTACGTTTTCAGGACTCTTGTAATCCTATATAATACGGAGCTCTTTCCCAAATTAAAGTCAAGAAGAACCGCAATTCCCAAATTGCAGCCAAAGTTATAAGAATTCCCATTCTACCGTCCACGTAAGCAATGGTTAAAAAACCGGTTTTTTTTTTTTCCGGTCCAGGGTAAACCGCTACTTGAAGTAGCGGTTTCTTTGCAATAAACCGCCACTTCAAGTAGCGGTTTCTTAGTTTAAAACCGCTACTTGAAGTAGCGGTTTGTTTACAAAAAACCGCTATTTAATGTAGCGGTTTATTTTGGAAAACCGCTACTTCAAGTAGCGGTTTACTTTGAAAAACCGCTACTTGAAGTAGCGGTTTACCCTGGACTGGTTTTTTTTTCAAACTTGCATAATCACTCAAAAAAAAACCTGCAAGTTGTGTACCTGTAAAACATGAGATATATAGCATATTTTCAACACAACCACCATAAATAACAAGTTTATGAAGATCTAAGGAAGTCGAAATTGCAAAGTCGAATATTTTTCAATTGATTAAATATAACAAAATCCAATTCTAAGCATTTACAAAAAAATTAGTTTAGTTCCAAAATATACACTTAGCTCGGGCGTTGCTTCTTCCCATGAGGTGACGATGAAGATGATGCAGCTGTCTCCTCTGGAATGTCATCCAGGCCAACTCCAACCCCAGACGTAGTGTTGCTACGCCGTCGGTTTCTCTGATACTGGCGATGCACTAGTGGAGGAGATGTCATGATAGTATGCTGAGAAGGAGTCGGTGGATGGAAGGCACGTGCTGAATGGCCTCCACGATGAGGTGGTGGTCTGATCGGCATAGTGTGCACAGTAGAAGATGAAGACGTGGACGGTCGAGGCTGCTGAATAAGGTGTGACTGCCCCACCCTAGACAAGGTTTGGCCACAAAATGATGTAAAACCCTGCATCGTCTGTATGGCAAATGGTATAGCCGTCTCTGGTGGCAAGTGGGAGATGGTCTCAGTAGCTCCCGATAGCTGGACGTGAAAATCAGCAAATGCATGTGCCTACATTTAAGTGTAGTTTTAATGTTAGTAAAATGAAATCAAAAACGTAAGAACTAGATTGAAATGAAGTGAAGTTCATACAAGCAGGAGGTCCGAGGTAGCTGGCTGGTAATGACTCGGGGGGCGCTCCTGCGAAGGTGGAGTAATGACCAGTCTCGTGATGCGACGGTACCAAGCCATGTACTCTGTCATGGCCGGGGAAGAAGTCCCAGTGAACGGGTATCCCTGGACGACTAATGCCTCTCGTCGACTCCACTCGTGTACATGGTCCGAATGCCGAATCTCCCAATTACGCTGTCCCCTTTGATCCTTCCTGTGTAGAGCAACGTCCGTGTCTACATCCTGTGGGATCGGCTGGTCTAACCCGAACTGACGAAGGACTCGGTCTGGGAGGTGGAACTCAACGACGTCAAAGCATATCAGAGGTGCCCGTGAACGCCAAATGTGCATGTCTGAGCGACAAATCTCCGGAAGTCGATCCATCACCGCCTCAGTATATGGCTGCCAAATCATCTAATTCCCAAAACAAGTATGTCAACATGTATATGACTAACATAATGGAAGAAATACAATGCACAAAAAAAAAGAAACACCGATTGTACCTGGTCCTCGCGCTGATGGTCAAACGCATCTCTGTAGTATGGTAGTCCAGAAGCAGTATGCGCACACGATAGATGGACACGTAACCACCTGTAAAGACATGTTAATAATAATTCTTGAAAGATAGAATTGTAAGAACATGAACTTGAAGCAAACATTGTACCTGCACGCCAAAGGGTCAACACCTCGCTGATGCTGAGTCCCCAAAATGTCATCCTCATCCTCAGCCTCAGGGTCCTCCTGTGGCGGATCTCGAGGCCTCCTAATGTATGGTCGGCCAATAGTAATATGCTCCCACGACCACAACTGTAGTAGGATGAGCGGGCCTCCAATCTGTCTTGAATCTCGCTGACATCCTCGACATAGCTGCCGATACAAAAAACCAAGAGTCGCACTCCCCCAGCTGTAGGTCGAAGCTGTCCCCCAGTGACGGAATCCATCAATACATGGCTTGAATGCCCAAAAGACTCGTTGAAAAACATGTGTTCCAGGAACCGTACACTCTAACAACCTCCACTCAACAACAGTTCCAGGATTTGATTCCTTGAGAGCTTGCATGTACTTAGGCAACTGTTCATATGAACCCTCCCAACCCCCATAAATGAGTTTTATTGCCTTTTGTTTCGCTAGCCATGCTCTCTTGTAGGTTATTTGGAATCCATCAAATTTCTCTTTCACAAGTTGCACCATTGTCTTGATTTTCAATGAAGGATCAACGCGAATGACATCTAGAAGAGCATTGCAAACGAACTCGGAAGTCAGTAGCTTATGATCTCCCGAGTCGATGTCACCAACACAGTTACTTGCATGAGGGCCGTTGTACCTCACAATTTTAAACGTAGAGAGTGTTGGATCTTTCACTCCTCTAAGCCTCCACGAACAACTACATTGTTCTTTCCTCTTGCACTCAACAACATATTTCTCTGGCTCTGCCTCCACAACTCGAATTGTTTGATTTCTAGCTATGGAGTAAGATTTCACAGCATCTTTCAGTTGTTGCAATGAGTCAAACTGCTGACCAACCTCAAATTCTCCCCCATTGTTATATGTCTCATTTCCTAACCAAGACATCCATGAGTTATTCAAACGAGGATCAACTTGCGCCACTTCATTGAAGTCTGAAGTGGGGGCGCTTCCTTTAATTGCCTTATCACGAGCTTCAATTATCTCTTCATCATCATCTTCATCAGTGTCATTCATCTCTGCATCGCCAAATACATCAACATTGTTTGGGTCAAGAGAATCAAGAATTCCTTGTGGTTGTGTGCTTGTCGAGGTTCCAACATTAGGCGATGAGGCCGGAGACCTAAACTGTGAGAGATGGTCATTGACATAATGTGGATCAACAAGCATTCTTGTGAATGACCCTATGCCCACACTTTGAACACCAGTGGAAAACGGTTGATCCACACTACCAAAAAAATCCATCCCCGGAAAGGAACCAGTGTTAGTTTGCACAACTGGCTCCTTTGGAACTTGTTCAATGAACAATTGCATTACAACAGAAGAACTCTGAGTCACAGCAATCCACATAGCTCTAACAGCGTTGTCGTCATTTAACGGAATTGCAACATATGCCCCAGCCATAGGATAACGCATAACCACCTTCAACTCCACACCTCTAGGATCAACACTCAATTCTTCATATAGCTTGTTCAGAACTTGTGAATATGTCATCGCAGAATGTACAAACACAAATTTTTGATTCCCACCCCTATACGTTATATCGCTATCTTTGTGGACAATTTCTCCACCCCAATAGCAATATAGAGGGTAGTTCGGAACCTCCATGTTTCATTCTAGAAAAGACCATTATTAATCAAAGATATTAGATTGCAAAAATTCATTAACAGTGTGGCAATGTCCTAACATCAAGCAAGCAAACTACACAATTATAGCAACCTAAACTGAGCTATGAAGGTCTTAATACCTCTTGAAGCTCAACATGGGCATAAGTCATGACTACATGTACTTTGAGCTCATGTACTTTGTGTATAGAAGCTCTATTTTCACTTTCAAAATCAGCAATTATAGCAACCTAAACTGAGTAATGTGATCGAAACCATTAATAATTCTACAAGGGTTATATGTAAGGTAAGTAAATCAACAACAACAACCAAAACCAACCACAAACATACATACAATTCTGAAACTCAATAACAACAACAATAAACAAGAACACTAACAACAACAACACAACCAAAACCGAAACTCAATAACAACAACAATAAACAAGAACACTAACAACAACAACACAACCAAAACCAACAACAACAACACATACATACAATTCTGAAACTCAATAACAACAACAAACTCAATAACAACAACAAACCCAATAACTGAATACAAAAAATAATTAGGGCACTTACCACAAACAAGAAGATCAGCACGTTTCTTCTGAAATTAGCGAAGCCGACCACTAAAGTCGAACCCTCGGCGTCAACAGCGGCGGCCTTCGTTGATGAGGAATGCTCCGGCGGCGTCGGTGGATTCCTTGGCTGCGCCGACTTCCGTTGAAGGAGGTGTGATTTTGGTGGAAGGCGTGGATGGGATTTTGGTGAGAAGACGAAAATGAAAGAGGAAAGTGAAATCGGGAAATTATACCTGCTAGAAAACCGCTACTTGAAGTAGCGGTTTATTAAACAAAAACCGCTACTTGAAGTAGCAGTTTATTAAAAAGAAACCGCTACCTGAAGTAGCGGTTTATTAGTAAAAACCGCTACTTCAGGTAGCGGTTTTGCTGTAGACCGGATTTAAAATTTCTTCCCCCTGAACCGGTGACGTGGACGGTAGAATGGGAATTCTTAAAACTTTGGCTGCAATTTGGGAATTGCGGTTCTTCTTGACCTTAATTTGGGAAAGAGCTCTATAATACGAAGTATGATTTATCTTTCGAAGTCTAAGTCAATGAGCAATGTTCCATAAAGCAAATTGACCAATGAAAGACTAGTTGCCTAGATGCCGGCTAATATATATATAGTCTTTCTATGTACTATACAAAGTAATTAAGATTATCTAGGTAGTTTCATAGAATTAACATTAGGAAAAATTATTTTTACGAGTCTTAGTTTTGTACATTCTCGAAGGTACTAACGTAGGATTAGTTCAAATCCTAGTAAAATTCCAACTTTACTATAGCTCCAACACATTGCATATATACATAATTTTCTTTGGCTCGTGTCATATAAAATTTCCCACAACAAAAGTCAAAGACAAGCCTAGCTTGCCTAATAGTCTCAAGAAAATTAATTATGTCTATTAAAGAAGCCATTGATCCCGGTGAAGAAGACGACAAACGGGTAGATTCAAGGGAAGATACGTTGATGAAACGTCGTAGGAAGATCAATGGCTCCTCTTCCTCAAGCACTTCTTTTAGGGAGATCTCGACTAACTTCAAAGATGGAAAATTACCGCCTTTTAACTCGATCGATGCAACGATGTTTAAGGAGGATATAAAGAGATGGGCGAGAGATGCTGTGAGATATGCAAACCAACAATGTAGTAGGACTTGTTCATGTGATCAACACAAGAAGAGTGGTTTTGGGAAACATTGATTCAATGCAAAACTAGGAAAAGGTGGCAATTAGGTTGACTTAAGGGTTGCATTATGTATATGGTTAAATTTATAGCAATTCTTATATTTTATCATTTTTCTCAAAAAAATTGACATGTCTATGTGACTTTCTCTAAGTTTGAGTTTTTGTACCTAAATTTAATTGAGTTAACTTCTTTTGAGAGATTGTAAATGGTTTGAAAACAATTGTATATACAGTATATACATACATACATACATACATGAAATAAACAATTTTTGAAAATGCTAAATGTGTAAGCATGTCTTTAATACCAAAAAAGGAAAAAATCAATTTGTTGCAAATAATAGGTAGCACCCTGATTGGGTAAATGTTGCAAATAACTAAAACCGGAGGAAGTATATATATATATAACCTAATATCTGATATATATAACCTTATAACCTAATTTCTGACCGTTATAATCTAATTTCTGACAATTAAGATTTAATATCTGACAATTATAATCTAATACCTGATAAGTATAATCTAATATCCGACCATTATTATCTAGTTTCTGACACTTATTATCTTATATTTGATATTTATAATCTAATATCTGATTATTATTATCTAATTTCTGACAATTAAGAATTTTTTTTCCTCAAATTTTTTTTTTATTTTTATTTTTTTCTGTTTGTATGACCGGACTCACGTGAGTCCGTTCTACACAATATACTTTGTGTGTTTACATTGATGTTTCTTAAAATCCAATGTTGGAGGCTAGCTAGTGTATTAGCTTTGCCATTATTGCTAACACTTCCTTCGTTTATGAAATTCTCGCTTTTTATTTTTAGTAATTTTAAAAAGCTCGACTCACTTTTGCTTAGCTTTATTCCTTTTTTTGGAAACCTCTTTCACTATTCATACATTTACACATTTTTACACTCCAACTAACCTTATTCGCATTTTTTTTTTTTTTTTTTACATTCATCCACCTTTTTACCCCTATCTTATAACACCATGCACATGACTATAGGGCTATAAAGCACGAACACACCATATATCTATGTATAACATTAACATAGGTGACATAAACTGAAATATGTGTTAAACACACAAAAAAACGTGCATAATTTCTTGATATTTTTGGATAATAGGACACAAATCGTATCCTACATTGGCTTGGTTGCTATACTATTGGGCACGCAAAGTCAATGTGTAATTTTTATTTTTTTTTTTCATTTTTGTAAAATTAGAAACTAATAAAGCTTAGGTAAGCTACCTAAATAAGCTTTAGGATCTTTCTTGGGTTCAGTATTTTACGTTGACCCTTTACATAGGACACGCAAAGTCACAATTACTCTCTTCCTCTCTCTTTTTTACTTCCATCTCGTGCTCTTTATCCTTGAATTGCTGGCTTCCTCAGACCAATGATGTTCAACATGTTACAGTAATTAATATTTCTATATAACTCCATCAATTGGGCTTTGTTTTCATGGACTTATTTTTGTTGTAATCACTTTGATGTAAAAATATACTTTAGTTGATTGTTTTACTAAATTCTACTTGTATTTAATTATGTTGAAACTAACTTTTTTTTTAATTAGTTGAATTTGACATCTCTTTTACTAAACTTATTTTAACTACTCGTCACTTGATTATTTCCTGAATGTGCAATTTGTATTTTTTTTTTTTTCGGACAAAAGATCTAATTTTGTATAGTTGATAAACGGAATGAGATTACCAACAATTTTCTTATACGCAGGAAAAAAGTTAAACCTACATTACTTGAAAGTAGGGGGGAATAAGGATCCTCATACCCAAGTATCTACATTTCGATAAATGTAACCTTGTGAGTTGTGATTTCAAGGTTACAAGGGGAATTCCAAACCACCACCTTTTACGTGTGTTAACTATTATTGCAATATTCTTCCAAAATATCTGAAATTGGGCTAATTGTTCCCTCAGGCAAATAGCCGAGAAAAGCCGCATATTGGTTTGAGTCATCAAAGCAACAAGAGCAACAAAACAAAATCTGGAAGAAATTCTAAGTTTTCAGCTTTACTGTAAAATCTGTTCTTTTCTCTTTGAGATTAAAAGAACCCATGAGCATCCACTACCCACTTATACAACTTGAAGCAAGTACAGTTTCGAGCAAAAGACTGGGCAGAAAGATAACAAGAATCAAAAGATGAGACACTGATATAGGGCACAGACGGCAATGACATCTCTGTATAACTATATGTACCATCTACAAGGCATCCTACAAAACTTTTATATACCAATGTACAAGGCGAGCATTTTTGGTGTCAGTTCGTTATTTCTGCAGGGTTCAACATCTTTTCTCCACCAGAAATGGTCCTCAAGAGTTCTCTAGACACATCTTGAGTATGTGTTGCATTCTTCACACGACTCGCTCTAACCCATGCAGGCTCCTGCAAAATAGGAATTGCACGTTTATGTACTCATTATCTACACTAGCACTTTCCTGTTTTTTTTTTTTTTTTTTCTAGGAATAGTACAAGACCATCGGTTTACCTCAGGGACAAAGCGAGAAAAGCCAAACTTTATAATTAGGAGGATATGCTCCATGACCAAAATTGCTGCAAGCCCTGGCTCTAATTTCCATTTCCCTTCCTCATCGTATAAACAAACCAAAAGTGCACAGTTGGTGCATATTGACATCACTATTAGAAACTGAAATTCAGAAAACATAAACCATATCCAATCAGTAATGTAGTTAACTTATAAATGGAGAACAGAAAATATTCAACATAAATGCTGCCTGCTGAGAATCACACTATATTTTGCAACATCTTTCTAGGATATTACTAAGAGTTTATGCATTGGAATTGTAATGGTTAATACCAAAAAACATGTTAAAGGGGATGCATAATTGCAGTAAGCACAAAAAAGATTGACAATTTGAAAGCTTGCCTGAAATATATTCAGCCATGCTCCAATTGTAGCAGCAGCACGAGGAACAGGCCTTTTATGCATGACAAGCAATTTTAGAGCATCTGTCCTGATTTCCATAATGTTGTTCTGCATCAACATCTAGTTATAGATTTTAACTTGGTGCCTCAAACTAGGATTGATAGAAAACTCCAATATAAACTACTCACCACAACAGCAAAAGCAAAAGTGAGGGGAAATGCACTTGCAAACATCATAATCATTCCAAACTGCAGAGCCAACTCCAGAAAATCTGCATATAGTTTACAGTTTGACAGTAAAGTTTCTTCGGATGTATCAAAAGCTACATTACTAAGCCATTCAAAAACAAATAAAGTAAGCTTGTAATAACAAAATTACGAGTATTACCATCAAACAGTCCATCTTCAAGTTCTCCTCCAATGCTGGCAGAGTAAGCAGATTTCAGATACTCTTTCTCTACTCTCGAATTCACTTTTACCTTCCCAATTGATGACCCCTTATCGTGCTTCTTCTTGAGCCTTGATAATTGGTAAATGCATTAACAAACATAAAGGTGATCTAACGGCTACACTAACTTGTATTACTTTCATTTAAATGTAAAGATGGTGCAAATAAAAACAAAAGGATAATAAAGCTCACCTAACAGCTCCAAACTTTTTATAGCTGTATTTAAGGTAGGGCAGAGAATTTTCAAGCAAGTTCTCAAAAACCTGCAAACATGATACACATCACAGTTACTATCACAATTTTAAGTGGAAGTAGAATCTGATATCTGTTCAATAAAAATATGTCAACCTCAGAGACGATCAGACGCTGGATTAAAACTTTGCGAAGTGTCATAATATTGCGGTGGAGCAAAGCATGATAGAAAACTCCAATATATGTCTGCATAAAATAAAGCCCAAACAGCTGCAAAGAAATGCCAATAAAGGGAATTTGCTTAGGTAATCACCTTCAAAATTAAGCAAATAAACAAACCTAGGTATCTGTTCCCATTCCTCACCTTGTAAATCAAGCTGTCTGCCTGATACTCTTCATTGTCAATGTTTTCATTTTTTATGAGATCAGCAGAAATTTTCCCTCCAAATCGCGTAAAATATTGAATAAGAAGTAGGTAAACAGCCGTCAGCCCAAACCTATCAAATTAACCAGAAAAGTTGATTATATGTTATTACTCTATTCTTGTAGCAACAATGCTGCTACAAGTAGTTAATAATATCTCCACCTCAAGGAATACAATTTCTCTATTAATAAAGACCAGCTCTATCATCAAGGTTAAACAATAGATAATTACATAATCATTGTAATGCATTACTTTTATAATGATTATATAAAGCGGAAGCAGAAAGACAGTGAGAAATCTTTATCAAATTTGAACATGGAATAATGATATGACTTTTGTTACTACATGAAGTGCAATAAATCATGTTACAGTATAATTAAAGCATCCAATAGTATGCACACATACTTCAAGTAAATATATACAGTATATAATAGTTTGTTTAATCAGCAAAAATAGACAAGAGGTAACAGCAGTAATACATTTACATTTTAAGTTCTTATTATTTATTTATTTATATTTATTTTTTGGTGCCCCCTTTTGGCAACTATCTATAATAATTAGAAAGTAACTGCTTCTAGCTTTTTCTGTACATATGACATATGTCTTCCTTTTGAATTTTTTTCGGAAAATTCAGTCAAAAATACTGATCATATTAATCAGCCACTAGTATTTCCACATTGATAGAAAAAAATTTGCATATTCAAAATAAATACTTTTTCTAACCATAAATAAACTTCTTATTAGGCTTGGGCACTCATATTCTGTATAATGAGGGAGTATGAGCTTGTGTAGAAGTAAAACCATTTCAAATTGAAGTCATAATGTCATTCTTGATATAGCCCAAGAGAGTAATAGATCAAAGTATGTCCATGATTATACTGCCTCTATGAAAGAGTTTTGGCAAGGGGTGGGACCTCCTTGCTTAATACTTAGTAGTATTTGGGCCTTCGTAACGAGTAAAGGACTTCTTTTGGGCTAGGTATAAGGCCAGCTAGCAATCTCATTAAAACACCATTTGCTCTAGACGAAGAGACTATGAATGTAAGAGATTTTGTTTTTGTGGGTGAGAGGGATCTAGACAGCCTTTAATTTACTTGTCACCCACTTAAGATCATGACAAATAAAATTAAAAACCTTAATGCCTTGTTCTCGCTTCCTTTCCCACAGCACTTCTCTTTTTCTAGTGCGCATGCAACAAATATTGGAGCCCTTAATTTGAACTTGAGCCTTAAGCAGTTATAGAAAAGCATCAAGCTTCCAAAAGGGATCCCTTGGAGGGATACGGTGCTCCATTGAGACTTGCTTAAGTATTGTCAAATCTTTCCAAATTCCTATTGCCCCAATTGCCCCCTCGTCATCATAGAAGAATTAATCCATGCCATCCTAGCCATAGATTTTGATTTATCTGAAATCTCTTGTCTATCCAGCTATTCCACAAGACCTTCGTAAGGCGATTTGGTTGAGAATATTTTAACCAGTACCCACATTGTTAAAGGAGTCAAATGGAGTATTTAGTTCCACTTTCTTTGTTTATAAAACCAGAGACACTACAATCATATCATATTCAAAGCGAATTATCAGGAATCACCTAAACATATCCTCCACAAAGCAAATTGCCTCAGGTGGAAATTTCTATTCTCCAATGCCTTCGATTGATAATGGCCTTATTCCTCCCTCTAATTCCAATTCTTCCAAACACTCTTGTAGAATTGGATTTTCCACCCTATGGTTGGTTTATGGTATATGTTGACACTTCCTTCGCTAATGCCAAGTGGTTTATCCAGAAGGTCTGTATTTGGTGTAGAGGCTTCCAGAAACAAAGTTACTCTATTAATCGCCTTCTTGCAGATCTTATGAGAATATGTGAAGGCCTCAACAAGATCAAAAGAGAAGATATGGAGAGAATGACCATTTCTTTAGATTGCAAGTAAGCAATAGATTTTCTTCATGTTCATGATCCTACCCCTGATTTATACTCTAATGAGCATAATGATTGTAGGAGCTAGGTTAAACAGTTGGAAGGTAAAATTCATGTATACTAGACATGACTTGAACAAGCGTGTAGATGGACAAGCAAGAAAGTGTTGAAGTTTAGATATTTGCAAGAACATAACTAAATTTTCTTCCAATCCCCCTTATTGTTGTATGGACGTCTTAAATTTGGATTCTTATTCCAAAATTTCATTTAGCAATAATTATTCTATACTGTCTATATAATTGCAATCAAGGGTCTAATGAACAATTTTAGGGGTAGAGGTGTGTATATGTGAACCCCTCATCCAGTCCCACATGAGAGTCTGAGATAATTATACAAGAGATAAAACGGTAATGTTATGCTATCTTGATACAACACACATACTCCTTAATATTATTTTTAATCAATAAAATTCACACACAGCAGATACCCACGTCACTCTTTTGCTAAAGTGGAATAATCCTTAAACATGCAATTGTTCTAGTTTCCACATCCCACTGGAATTTATAGCTAATGCTTCTATTGATATAATACCACCGTCTTTAAATAAGTAAAAAAAATATTCGCCTTTCCTTTGCAAGATCTCCCAACAATAATATCCACTAACAGAAAGTAGCATAAATATGCCTACTGTAGTTTATTCTACTTCCTACAGCACCCTTTCTTTTCCACAATGCTAATTACTAAGTAAAGTGGGGTACTTTGGGCATAATTTGCATTACTACATGAGATATAAGTGACAAAATCCATTTCATTTTTTAGAAGTTTGTAAAAAGTCGAGGTGGAATATTTTTTTAAAATGATACGGTAGCAATGACATTCCTATTGAGGTTTAAAGATGTTTGGGAGAGAGGAATTGAATGGTTGACAATATTCTTCACGAAAAAAAGAATTGAATGGTTGACAACATTCTTCAACAAGATTTGGGGCATGCCAATTAAGTGGAGGAAAAATAATCCCTTCGTATAAGAATAAAAGCAGGTTAGTTGAAGTGGACGAGTGTTACAGGATTTTAAATGTGATCCTGGCATGCCCTATAGATTAAAGGTAAAATTACAACCCATGAAAATTAGGCTTAAAATATTATATCGTATCGAAATGTTAGGTTGTGAATCATTGTCATGTTTATACGATGAATGTGGTGGAAATGCGTGTGCTCAGTTGGATGTGTGGCCATATAAAAAAGAATTGTATGTAAAATGAGATATTTTGAAGAGTAGGGGTCACATCTTGTGAGAACAAGACAAGGGAGAATGGCTTAAGGTGGTTTTCCCATGTAAGAAAGAAATTGAGTGAGGCTTTGGTAAGGAAGGTTGAAAGTGGCAAAGGGATGGGATCGTGAGAGGTAGGGAAAGAGACCTAAGAAAATTAGGAGGAAGGTGATTAGAAAGTGATATGCGTCTTTTGGGGATTAAGGAACTATAGCGTTGAATAGGATAAAGTGGAGAGGAGAAAATCTAAGCTGAGACTTGTCATGAAATTAAATACATCTCCATTTTTTTTTAGACGCATCACTTTTGATATTACGGACTCCTAGACAATTTAGAGTAGAAAGAGATATAGAGAAAAAATAAAGAGGGTCCATGTGATATGGAGAGATAGAGAGAATTTATTAGTTAAAAAGGAAATTGATGCATCTAAATTGAACAAAAAAAGAGGAAGTATATATACTCTTTTTTCCTTTTACCTAATTTCATTGTGTTTTGCAAAATCTTCTTATTTTCCTTAAGGTTTTCTCATACGCATGTTTTTCCTCTCTCCTTAACTTTTTTACCTTCTCTCTCTCTCTTTTTTTTTTTTTTTTTTTTTTTTTTTCAAATCCTTTCTCAGAGTTTATTTTTCAATCCTCTTGTTGAGTTTTCAATTTACCCTGCTTCCGTTCTTGCTCGCTTTCACTTTATCACTTTTCATTCTTTGTTCAATTTTTTGCGAACGGTTTTTTATGTCGATCCATGTTAGTAAACCCCAAATCATTTTGAGATTAAAACTTTGTGGTGGTTGTTGAAAACAAAGTAGTAACATATTAGCATACCAATTCAAGACTTACAAAGAAGTTTTAATTTGCAGTCCATTATTTAAAGCGCAGACAAAGAAAGCTTACTTTATGATGTCCGATCCAATTTTTTCATAGAGATGAGCATAAGCTAGCTCTAAAGGCAACTGAAGACAAATAATGCTCAATATAATGACTGTATCATTTCTGATCCTCTTTAGACGTCCTAACCATTCATCTCTTTGGTATGCTGCTTTCCCTTTGACAATATCAGCCTCCAACTTTTTTGTGAATTCCAGAGGATGCTTCCTAGAGTTTAGATCCATTCCAAATATCTTATATCCAGGTCCTGTTCCAACTGTGTAACTGATGTTCCATCTGCATCAAAGAGCTGGTTAAGACATGATGCTCCTGATATCTTTAATTGAAAAGTAAACAAAATAAACCATGATGCTTTTGTTAATGAAGAAAATTACCTGGTTATGAGGGCATAATTTTTGCGTTTCCAGAACTGGAAGAAGAATACAGCCCATGATATGATACTTATGAAAAACACCGGAAGAGCCAGAAATTGTAGTGATCTAGAGAATACACAGCAGTCAATAGAAAATTGCAAGCTATGTGGAAAATTGAGGAGCTTAATAATCTGACAGAAGTTCTAGATAGGAGAGTAGGTGCCTACCCAAAGTCAACTAAATGCAATACAATCCCTAATGCCGCAGGAAAGAGTAACCACCGAGTGTACATTCCAAGAAAGGCAAAATATATTGCTATCTGCAAATTGTAAGTTGCCTTAGTAAATATTAGCCGATGAAAGCATGGAAGTAGATCACAGAATTCAATGTATCATTTCAACTTGCCTTGGTTCCAAAGTATAGGTATATATCATCAATTGGCTGCCTTGTAATGTCCCAAAAGTTAAGTGCCCAACTCCTTAGCATCTCCTTCTTTTTCTGTTCATCTGTTATCACAAAGTTCAGTTTATACTCTACTGGAAATGCAGAAAGTCAGCAATGATTAGGATTCCTCATACCATGCAAAGGAAATACTTGTTTGAGAATGCCTTCTGTTTCCAGCTTCCGAAGAAGAGGTTCCCAAGATTCCCAGTAGAAATTTTTGCAGCCATATTTCAGAGGTACAGCCACTTTACTGTTATTTACCTGCAATAATCAATTTTTTAATATGGAGTGATGAATTACTTCTAAAGCATTCCCTTCATAGCTAACAGCATTCAAGGTTAAAGTTCAAATCACCATCACTAAAATGAGAAAGGAAGAATTCAAAATTCTCAGAACTGATATGCTAAAATTGGGGGCAGAGGTCAACCAAAAAATTCAGTAGTCTTGATACATAAGAAAATGACAAAATAAGCACAGTAAATAATATAAATGAAAAATACACTTCATAAGTCTGAAGAATGCTTACTATTCCATAAATTAAGTGATGGTAGCAATGATGGCGCTCACACCAACTGAACAATGAGCCATCAGCCTGCCTCGCAAAGGCTTTAACTTGTTCCCAGTCAAAAGCTAAGTCCATTCCTGAGAAATAAATCAAAAATCCTTGCGTCACTCAAAGCACCAATTATGCAGTTACAAGGCTATCCAATGACTGAGGAATGGTGTTGGGGAAGTAATTTTACTTATTAATGATCCTCACTAAACTCCTCGTAACCTCAGTCATGCACTCATTCAAGGTTCCTAATGGTAAAATGATATTTTACAAAATATATTAAGTATTGAACAAGAAAATAAAATGGCTTAATACCGATATTGGTTCGTTTCCTTATCTGTAATTCTGCTGCAGCCTTTCCAAGAGCCTCCAAAGGTGCTGCCAACTGAGAGAGAAATATCCATTTTAAACACACTATTACCAATTCATTTCCCAATATTATACATGGGAAGGAACTTATATAGACATTTATAGCCAAAATCAGCACTTAAAAGCACACATTGGAAACAGTTTAAACACTGGCTCCTGCTAAAGTTTTACAATATCAGATTAGACATAGATACTATTATTGCTGTATCAAACTACTTATGTTCGTAGGAGGAACCTCTCCATGTCTTTTCCTCAATTTCAATCTTCAACTCAATTTGCCAAAAATGTTGAATACATATAGACATTTATAACCAAAATCAGAACTAAAATGCGCTCATTGTAGCATTGTATTTGGAAACAGATTAAAGCGCTGGTTCATGCTCAAGTATTACAATATTAAATCAGAAATAAAAACTACTCGTATTTCTATATTGAGCGACTTAACTTCGTATCAGCATCCGATCTCCACGTCTTTTCCTCAATTTCCATCTTCAACTTATGACACCTAAGTGGAAAAACTTAAACCCTCCCCCTTATTTGTCAATGCAATCTCAACTAAACATCCCATCCCTTTAATTTCACACAATTACACCCACATGACCTCTTTTCGGCCTGGACATCGAAGTCTGAGCTATTCAAAAAAGGATCATCAACAACTACGGAGTACAAACCAGTCTTAATCATAGAATAGTAAATTCTTGCTAGTAACAACAATGACCTGATTAGGCTATTTTGATGCAATATAAGTAACATCAAATTAAACAACTATATAAAATAAACAACTCTATGACCTAATTAGGCCAATTTGTAATGAAAGATAAGTAAACAACAAATCAAGTCCATGTAATTAATATTTAAAATTAAGGAATTAGACTCCCAAACACCCAAACTTGCCTACTTTGACTATATATATATAAACCAAACGAAACACTGAAGAGACTAAACTTGACTGGTCAATTGCAAAACAAATATTCTTTCCTTTCCAATTTGATTATCACATTACTCGTTCAAATTACACTATCAACGCGACAATTGATTCGAAAAAACTCATTCAAATTACACTAACAACGCGACTATTAATTCCGAAAAAAGCTAGTTCCTAACCCTAATAGAAATAAATTGTAAATTTCAAGGTTTGAGCAACTGACCTTAATAAACTCATGAGAAAGGCCAGGAACTTCTTCAACCATCAACCCAGTTTTCTTCAATTCTTCAACCAAAATCTCCATAACTTCATATCTGTTACCTTCATCCTCATCTTCACTTTCACCATTTTCTTCTTTCTTTGTAAATACCAAAGCAATTTCAAACACAGCTTTTTCTTCACCATTTATACTCATTTCCAAGAATTAAAGAAACCCAATATTTTTAGCTAAAAATCTTGAATAATCAAGGGATAATTTCGTGAAATGATGAGTAAAATTATATTAAAAGAAAAGGGGTTTAATGGGGGTCCAAATCATGGGTAATTGGACCGAAAAAATGCATGAATTTGCGTGAGGATTGAATTGGACAATGTGGGTTAGTTTGAGATAAACATGGAAAATGTCGAAAAAGGTACAAATTCAGATGGGAAGAGAATTAGAGATTGGAACGGCAAGAGAATTAAATTTTAATTTGGAAAATTTAGAAAGAAAAAAAAAAATTGAAATTGAGAGTTTGAGACATTGAAAGAAGAAGGTGGAGAGAGAAAAAACACACGTGGTGGGGGCTGTGCTTTTAATAGTGTAACGGCCTTTATGCCAATGGAATGGAAGTGATGCAAATGCAACTGTACAGTGTCCAAATTGACCATCATTCATCCAGGTCAAATGGTCGTTCCCACGCTGTAAAGTCTTGTTTTTATAATACCAAGTACTCCGTAATATAAAATGCAGAGTAACCCAGAAATCAATAGGTTGTCCGAGACTCGTAGAGGTGTCAAAATCACACATGATTCGACCTCACATGAAAATAATAATAATTTAGAATGATTCAACTTTAAAAATTGAATAGATCTCACCAAAAAAATAAAAAAAGACCTAATCTGACCCAACCTTATCGAATTCGATCCGAACATTCGAATTGACACCTCTATCCGAGAGCCTATGTGGAGAAAGTACAAATACAAGATTGTTATGAATACTTAACATGGAATTGACATAAATATATTAAGAGTAAACAATGGTAATATTAATTAGGGTCTTAAGGGTGTTAATTCGGGTAATAAGATGGATACTAGGTTGACTCACAATGGCTCTGGTCTATTTAGGTCAAGGCTATCCTTACAACACGCCTCAATTTGGGTCAGGCCAATTTCAGGCCGAATCAATTCTGGGTCAAGATTTGTCGAGTCAAGGTCGTGTCAACTTGAGATCGATTAATATTCAGCTTGGAAATTTTTGTAGTGGGTTATAAATGATTTGACAGGCTAGGGTTAATTTTGGGTCGGATGACTTTAGGGCAGTTTGATTTCATTTTAGTTAAGTTCGATTCACTTTGATTAGGAAAAAGGTTGATTCAGTATTAGGTCAATTCCAATTCCAATTCTTTTTGGATTTGGGGGTTGACCAAATTCAATAATAAAATAAGGTCATTTTTTAACCAAAGTAATTATTGAGTTATCACCTTATTATTGGCTCACTATCGGATCATTCATGTGTCATTTTTCATATTGTGTCATTTACACTTATTATAAGTTTTCTTATTAGATTAGTTCTTGTATCAGTTTTATCTTTAAGCCAAAGATAAATCAAATTATCAATGACTTATCATAGGTACATAACTGAGAAGATATATGTTGATAGATAATAGATCCACGTCGGGTTATGATTTTAAGTTATAAGGTAAGGAAAAGACCCATCTAATAGGAGATGTAAGAAAATTCCTTCCGATTTGACTCTTGATCTCAAGACTGAAAGTCGGAAAACTAGCCAATTACTCTAGTCTCCTATCTTATATAAAATATTGTTAACAAAGCAAATTATCACATCCAATAAAAATACGAGAAAAATTCTGTAGCTAGCTAAAGACCATTGCTAAGATCAGTTAGGTGGCACACTTACAAAATGCGAATTGCGAACATATTTATACAATTTGACTTCTTTTAGTCGAAAAGCACACCGCCGACCATTTTCTTATTCGTACTCTAATGGATGGACTTAAAATTGAACGGAATCCCAATTTCTACAAGCTTAAGAATAGATGCTTCATACAAATGGTACTCCGAATTAGATGCTTGATATTTTTATTTATTTATTTATTTTTGTAAAGAAGTCTAAAAGGACACTAAATTTCATTGATTAAAGTCATATGACGTCTACAATTAATAAATAATGATAATGAAAACGGATTTAACAAAATCAAACAAGAATTTATCAGAGAAGTGCTAAGAATCCAAATACATAGATATAACAATTCGGCATATACAACTTTTTGAGTGGATCCATCGATGCTTCAGTGAGGAAAAAATTTCTTGTGATAATTTTGTAACCCGAGTTCGAGTAATTATCAATCGTAGCCTTGTAAAACTGGAGACCCTATCACACGCAAATAATTTTGTCTTTCGAAGGAGTTTGAAAAACCTTTTCTTTTGAAGGAGATCGAAAAAACCTTGTCTTTCGAAGGAGATAAACCCTTTCTTTCGAGGGAGACATTATTATAACTTAAGAATTAAAAGAAACAAACGATTGAGGCTTTCCACCTCTGAAATCCGATGAAAGCCCCTTCAAAATTTACAATGGAGGCTAAAGTTTTAGATGCTTGATATTATTATGGTTTATACACTAAGATTTAATGGCTAGTTAGTTAGTAGACATGGGCTGATGGCCAACAAATATTGACCACAAAGTTGAAATATTATTAAATTTAGATACATATCTACATTTTAATAGTCACATTTTCATTGATATGATCTTGTTTCATTTGATACTTAATCTGTTTCTTTTTTAATCTCAATGTTTAAAATTATATCATATTAAATAATTTTAATCATATAATCGGTACGGTTTTTTTTAGTGTACCACCCAGTTCACCTTTTGGACCAATCTGGATTTTGGGTGGTACTCATTTGATATAATTAATTTGTCAATATATGTACTTATATCTTAATTAGTTTAGTTACTTTTCGAACTACCCAACCAACCAAAGCAAAGAACTCAAAGTCACAAAGCAAATATATTAGCACAATAATTTAGCAACAACAATAAGACATGAGATAATCAATTCAATAAGATTACAACCAATATTCCCACTAATAAAAGAATACAAATGAGGAGAAATTTCAAAGAATTTAAGCTTTATAGCAACACATCGATATTTTATGTAAACTTGTCCATTTGAGTGTAATTGAGTAAGAGGCTTAATAGGGCTTGGAAGACTAACAGAGCAATTAGTTTTCTTCTTGTAATTAAACGTCGCTAATCTCAACTATCATTTCCTCTTGAACATCTACAAAAATCAGATCATTTCGTAAACTACATGAGTTGATTGTAAGAGTAAAAAAAGAAGATAGTGAATTTATTGAACAACGAAGAAGAATATCGATGTTGCATAATGCATACCTTGTACATATGATGAGTCGATTGCTAAATTCAGACATTGTAGGCTTTCATGTGAACAATGGTAAACTTCAAATTCATTCCATAGCTTAGAAATTAAAAGTTGGTCCAACTTTTGATTAGAGGACATTAATTTAGAGTTAATTACATTGATTTGGTCAATTAATTTATGTAATTCTCCTTCCATAAATTGTTGTTCTATCATATGTCTATAAGATTGATCTTTGAGCTCGTTTACCTCTTTTTTTGAGGACCCTAGCAAAGTTTTATTCAACTCTAGTTCATGATTAGCTAACGAAAGTTGATTTCGTATTGTTTGTAATTCTATTTCCATTGTCCTACTTTCTCTCTTAGAATTGGAAAGCGATTCTTCGAGATCTTTAACATAGTTTTTTGACAACTCTAATTCATTTTTAGTTGAACTTAACTCAAGGTTAATTAAAGAGTGTTCTTCTTCTACCTTCCTTAATTTACTTTCGATTTCTTGATTTTCCTTCTTGCAAGAAGTAAGTTGAAACCTTAGGTCTTCTATACTTTTACTTGAGGATTCTATCTCGATTGTAGAAGATTGTAACTCCCAATTAGCCGAAGAAAGTTGATCTTGTAACTTTTGTAACTCTATTTGCATGTTTTCTTTTTCTTTCTTATAATTCGAGAGTACTTCCTCAAGACCTTTAACATTTTTATTTGACAACTGTAGTTCATTCTTGGCGGACTTTAACTCTGACCTAATCAAAGAACGTTCTTCTTCAACATTCCCAAGTTTTCTCTCATTATCTTGAATTTCCTACACAAGGAAAGTTGATATCCAAGTTCTTTTATGCTATTGGTTGAAGTTTCTACCTCAATTTTATTAGATTGTAACTCACAATTAATAGAAGAAAGTTGAGCTAGTGTCTTTTGTAATTCTAATTCTAATCTTTGATTTTCCCCTCTATAACTACAAATTTGATCTAACAACTCATCTTCACCCTTCTTATACGACTCCAATTCAATCTTGTATAGTTCTAACTCAAAATCAACCGAAGCAAGTCGTTGGTATACTTTATGCAATTCAACTTCCATGTCTTTCTGTTCCTTTTTATATGACGAAACTTGTTCTTTGAGCTCATCTACTTTCTCCATTGAAGATTTTAAATTAGTCTCACTAGAAGAAAGTTGTTGGTTTAATTGCTCAATTTCTTGTTCCTTTTGCCCTAGTTGGGTTTTTAGAGAATCATTGACGGAATTTGGTATTGTCACTCCAAAAGGAGACCAATCAAATATTACATTTTGAATTGGTCTAAGACAACCCTTTCTTTCGCCTATTATATGAAAATAACATGCAACATCACAATTAACATGCATAATCATCTTATGATTTGGCCTTATCATTAGAGAATCATACAGCCTCTCACCTGAAGAAATTTCTATTCGTGTACCATGTATCATCAATTCATCTAAGAGTAGGTGTATGGAACGAATTACCTTCATGTTACCCTTCTCGTTTATGTGCACCATTTGATAAAAAGATACGTTGTTTATGTATTCTGGGGTAATGTACAAATCTGGAGTTTCTTCCAAGTTGTAAATGACCATTTTTTTTTTTAATCAAGCAACGAGGTATTATATGGTAATTTGTAAGTAAAGAAAACAAATGAAAAATAATGTAGCTATAAATATATTAAATATTTTGAAATCACAAATATGGGTAAGTATGGTTAAGAAAAGACGTTTAGTTTTGGTTGATAAGAAGGTATATATGTTTCTTACTATAAGAACTTGTTTTTATAGTAAACGGGCTTCCATTACTTAATACTATTAGTATGTGATTATGTGAGTGAATTAGCATTGCTTTTGCTCATGTGATAGTTTACCGCATTAATGGGCTGTAAGAAATTCCTAGCTTGCCTTAGGGTGATCTACTCAATATAGTGGAGGTTATGCAAAGTATATTCTTTCCAAAAACTTATTATATATTTATATGCTTCATCCATTTAATTTTTATTAGTTGAAACGTTTTAAACTTTAATTTGCCACTATTCACATAAATTATTGTTTTTTTTTTTTTTTTTTTTTTTTTTTTTTTTTTTTTTTGTAATTTACCCTTAAGAAAAAAACATATTTGTGTGGAATCTTGTTTGATTTGCCTTAAAGTTTATGTTACAAATATCAAAAGAAA